TTAGATGTATTCTGTGATACAGAACATTAAAGCCAAAATTGGGGTGCAGGCCATCAGAGGTAATGAAGTACAGGCCATTAGATCAGATTTTTTGGGGTACAGTCATAAAAAGGGTATATTGGGGTGCATGTCATCTGAGGTGATAAAGTACAGGCTATTAGAGAAGATATTGGGGTGCAGGCCATCCAAGGTGATAAAGTACAGACCATTAGAGGAGATATTGGGGTACTAGCCATTAAGAGGGTGTATTGGGGTGCAGGCTGAGGTGATGAAATATAGGCCATAAAAGAGATTTTGGGGTGCAGGCTATCAGAGGTAATAAAGTACAGATAAATAGAGGAGATATTGGGGGTACTGGCCTTTAGAGAGTATAGTGGGGGTGCAGGCTGAGGTGATGAAGTATAGGCCATTAAAAAGAGATTTTGGGGTGCAGGCCAAAAATAAATCATTAGAGGAGATATTGGGGTACAGGCCATTTTAGCTACCATTGGGTTGCAGGCCATTAGAGGAGATATTAGGGTACAGGCCATTAGAGGGTATCTTGGGTACAGGCCATCTGAGATGAAGTACAGGCCATTATAGGGAATATGGGGTACATGCCATACAAGGTGTCATATATAACAGGCAATCCAAGATGATATTGGGGTACAGGCCATTGGAGAGAGTATGGGGTACAGGCCATTGGAGGAGATATTGGGGTATGGGCCATTAGAGGAGGTTTTGGTGTACAGACCATTGGAGAGATATTGGGGTGCAGGCCATTGGAGGAGATTATGGGGTACAGGCCATTGGCGGAGATATTGGGTACAGGCCATTAGTAGAGGTTTTGTGGTGCAGTCCATTAGAGAAGATTATGGGGTACAGGCCATTGGAGGAGATATTGGGGTACGGGCCATTGGAGGAGATATTGAGGTACAGGACATTAGAGGAGGTTTTGGGGTACAGGCCATCAGAAGTGATACGTGATCTGTCCTTGCAGGTTTCGGGCCTCTCTGGACCCCCCGACATTCACTCAGCACAGAGAATGCCGGAAAATGGCACCCAAAACCCCGGAAGAGATGTCAGCCGAAGGGTGAGGAGCCCTGTTTGTACCATGTGACCTGGGAGATGCCATGTGACAGCATTGTGGGTAGTGTGGGGATGGTGGGATTGGGGGGATGATATATGAACCCCCAAACTAAGAGAGAGATGTTGAGGCTGTCACTGCCCACCAGGTACTGGAAGGACTGGTACCCTGCCCGGGTTGTCATGGTAACCTTTTGGCATCAGTACATCCCGAGCGACCTGTAAGGAGGGGGTCAGATCGTTGGTCACATGACCAAATGACATCAGCAGAGGTCACCTTCCAGCAGCTGAATTCATACCCAAATCTTGACTTTTCCACCAAGAGCCTTGCTTGGCCCCGCCCCTCCTGAACTCTCAATCCTCCCTATTGCATTGAAGGTCCAATAGGAAGATGGGGGAGGGATGACGTCAGATGCTTGTATGTCTGGGACCTCCTCATTGGTCTGACATGCGGTTTCATGGAGGGTGAGATTGCACAATATGCAGCAGTTTCTGCCCAGAAACTCTCCGAAAGGCCTTCTACAGGACCTGGAAAGAGTCTTCCCCCCCCATGGACTGTTCCCCATGTTGTCATGTGACATCCAAAAGTGTAAAAATAAGTGCATTTGTATTCGGCCCCCTGGAGTCAGTACTTTGCAGGACCCCCTTTGGCTGTCATTCCAGCTGCAAGTCTTTTTGGGGATGTCTCTTTGCACATCTAGAGAGGGACATTTCTGCCCGTTCTTCTTTGCAGAATCCCTCAAGCTGTCAGATTGGATGGAGGGCGTCTGGGAACAGCAATTCTCAGGTCTGGCCACAGATTCTCCATTGGATTTGGGTCTGGACTGTGACTGGGCCATTCTAACCCATGAAGATGCTTTGATGGGAACCATTCCATTGTAGGTCTGGCTGGATGTTTTGGGTCGTTGTCCTGCTGGAAGGGGAACCTCCGCCCCGGTCTCATGTCTTCTGCAGACTCTAACAGGTTTTCTTCTAAGGTTGCCCTGTATTTGGCTCCATCCATCTTCCCATCAACTCTGACCAGCTTCCCTGTCCCTGCTGAAGAAAAGCATCCTCACCACATGATGCTGCCACCACCATGTTTCACGGTGGGGATGGTGTGTTCAGGGGGATGGGCAGTGTTAGTTTTCCTACACACTTTTAGGCTGTAAAGTCCCATGTTGGTCCCCTCTGACCAGAGCCCCTTCTTCCACATGTTTGCTGTGCCCCCCACATGGCTTCTCACAAACTGCAAACGGGACTTCTTATGGCTTTCCTCCAACAATGGCTTCTTGTCACTCCTCCATAAAGGCAGATTTGTGGACGACTAATAGTTGTCCTGAGGACAGATTCCCCCCCCCTGAGCTGTGATCTCTGCAGCTCCTCCACAGTTTCCCATGTTGGGCCTCTTGGCTGCTCCTCTGATGAATGCTCTCCTTGCCCGGCCGGTCAGTTTAGGTGGACGGCCATGTCTTGGTAGGTTGGCAGTTGTGCCGTACTCCTCCCATGTTCGGATGATGGATTGAACACAGCGCTCCGTGAGATGGGCAATGCTCGGGAGATTCTTTATAACCTAACCCCCTGCTTTACACTTCTCCACAACTTTATCCCTGACCTGTCTGGTGTGTTCCTTGGCCTTCATGATGCTGTTTGTTCACTAATGTTCTCTAACAAACCTCTGAGGGCTTCACAGAACAGCTGGATTTATCCTGAGATCACATGACACACTGAGGGGGCTCTATGTACTAATCAGGTGACTACTGAAGGCAGTTGGTTCCACTAGATTTCAGTTAGGGGTATCTGAGTCAAGGGGGCTGAATACAAATGCCGCCACACTTTTGACAACATGGGGACATTTCCTGGGGGGGGGGGACTTCTTCAAGGCGCCAAAAAGTGTCTGCAGAAGGTTATAAAGAATGCGGATTATTTCTCTTTGTTGCCTTTTTATTTTTTGTGATTCTTTTCCCAGCAGAGAGTCGTCTGCCGGACTCAGAGCTCGGAGCCGGGTAATGCCACGTGCTGCCCAATCTCCTCCCACTCTCCTCTCTCCTCTCCTCCCTCCACTCTCCTCTCCTCCTTCCTCCACTCTCCTCTCCTCCTCCCTCCACTGTCCTCTCCTCCTCCCTCCACTTTCCTCTCCTCCCTTCACTGTCCTCTCCTCCCTCCTCTCCTCCTCCCTCCACTTTCCTCTCCTCCTCCCTCCACTCTCCTCTCCTCCTCCCTCCACTCTCCTCTCCTCCTCCCTCCACTCCTCTCCTCCTCCTCCACTCCTCTCCTCCTCCCTTCACTGTCCTCTCCTCCCTCCTCTCCTCCTCCCTCCACTGTCCTCTCCTCCTCCCTCCACTCTCCTCTCCTCCTTCCTCCACTGTCCTCTCCTCCTCCCCCCTCTCCTCCTCCCTCCACTGTCCTCTCCTCCTCCCTCCACTTTCCTCTCCTCCTCCCTCCACTCTCCTCTCCTCCTTCCTCCACTGTCCTCTCCTCCTCCCTCCTCTCCTCCTCCCTCCACTTTCCTCTCCTCCTCCCTCCACTCTCCTCTCCTCTTCCCTCCACTCCTCTCCTCCTCCCTCCACTCCTCTCCTCCTCCCTTCACTGTCCTCTCCTCCCCCTCCTCTCCTCCTCCCTCCACTGTCCTCTCCTCCTCCCTCCACTCTCCTCTCCTCCTTCCTCCACTGTCCTCTCCTCCTCCCCCCCCTCTCCTCCTCCCTCCACTGTCTCCTCCTCCTCCTCCCTCCACTGTCCTCTCCTCCTCCCTCCACTCTCCTCTCCTCCTTCCTCTCACTGTCCTCATCCTCCTCCCCCCTCTCCTCCTCCCTCCACTGTCCTCTCCTCCTCCCTCCACTCTCCTCTCCTCCTTCCTCCACTCCCCTCTCCTCCTCCCCTCCTCTCCTCCTCCCTCCACTCTCCTCTCCTTCTCCCTCCACTCTCCTCTCCTCCCCTCCCTCCACTCTCCTCTCCTTCTCCCTCCACTCTCCTCTCCTTCTCCCTCCACTGTCCTCTCCTTCTCCCTCCACTCTCCTTTCCTCCTCCCTCCACTGTCATCTCCTCTCCCTCCACTGTCCTCTCCTCCCTCCTCTCCTCCTCCCCTCCACTGTCCTCTCCTCCCTCCTCTCCTCCTCCCTCCACTGTCCTCTCCTCCCTCCTCTCCTCCTCCCTCCACTGTCCTCTCCTCCTCCCCCCTCCACTGTCCTTTCCCTCCTCCTTCCACTGTCCTCTCCCTCTCCCTTTCTTTTTCTCTCCCTCCCCCCCCTCTCTCTCTCCCTCCCTCCTCTCTCTCTCCCTCCTCCCTCCCTCTCTCTCCCCCTCCCCCTCCTCTCTCCTCCCCTCCCCCCTCTCTCCCCCTTCCCCCTCTCTCTTTCTCTCTCTCCCCCCTCTCTCTCCCACCCTTTCACCCTCTCATCTTCCCCCACCCCCACCCCTCTCTCTCTCTTCCACCCCATCTCCCCTCTCTCTCTCCCCCCCCTCTCTCTCTCCCCCACATCTCCCCCTCTCTCCCCCCCCCCTCTTTCTCCCCCCTCTCTCTCCCATCCACCCGCTCCCCCATCCCCCCCTCTCTCTCTCCCTCCCTCCCTCTTTCTCCCTCTCTCTTTCTCTCTCTCCTCCTTCTATCTCCCTTTCTCTCTCTCTCTTTCTCTCCCTCGCCCTCCCTTCTCTTCTCTCTCTTTCTCCCTCCATCTCCCCTCCCCCCCTCTCTCTCTCCCTTTCTCTCTATTTCTCCCTCCCTCCCTTTCTCTCTCTCTCCCCTCCCTCCCCACCTCTCCCTCTCCTTTCCCCCTCTCTCTCCCCCCCCCCTCTCTCTCCCTCTCTCTTTCTCTCTCCTCCCCCCCCTCCCTCTTCCCCCCCCCCTCTCTCTCTCCTCCTCCCCTCTCCTCCCCCTCTCTCTCCCTCTCTCTTTCCCCCCCCTCTCTCCCTCCCTTTCTTCTCTCTCCCCTCTCTTCTTTCCCCCTCTCTCTCTTCCCCTCCCCCCCCTCTCTCTCTTTCCCCCCTCTCTCTCTTCCCCTCCTCCCCCCCTCCTCTCTCTCCCCCCCTCTCTCTCTCTTCCCCTCCTCCCCCCCTCTCTCTCTTCCCCCCTCTCTCTCTTTCTCTCTCTCTCTCCTCCCCCCCTCTCTTCCCTCTTCCCCCCCTCTCTCTCCCCTCTCTCTCCTCCCCCTCTCTCTTTCTCCCCCCCCTCTCCCCCCCTCTCTCCCTCCCTTTCTCTCTCTCCCCCTCTCTCTTCCCCCCTCTCTCTCTTCTCTCCTCTCCCCCCTCTTCTCTCTCCCTTTCTCTCTATTTCTCCCTCCCTATCTCTCTCTCCCCCCTCCCCCCTCTCTCTTTCTCTCTCTCTCCCCCCTCTCTCTTCCCTCTTTCCCCCCCTCTCTCTCTCCCCCATCTCTCTTCCCCCCCCTCTCCCCCCTCTCTTTCCCTCCCTTTCTCCCCCCCTCTCTCCTCTCTCTCTCTTCCCCCCCTCTCTCTCTTCTCTCCCTCCCTTTCTCTCTCTCCCCTCTCTCCCCCTTCTCTCTCCCCCTCTCTCTCCCCCCTCCTCTCCCCCCCCTCTCTCTTCCCCCCCCTCTCTCTCTTCTCTCCTCCTCTCCCCCCCTCTCTCCCTCCCTTTCTCTCTCTCTTCCCCCCTCTCTCTCTCCCCTCTCTCTCCCCCCCCTCTCTTCCCCCCCCTCCCTCCCCTCCTCTCTCTCTTCCCCTCCTCCCCCCCCTCTCTCTCTCCCCCCTCCTCTCCCTCTCCCCCCTCTCTCTCCCCTCTCTCTTTCTCGTCTCTCTGTCCCTCCCTCTTCCCCCCTCTCTCTCTCTCCTCCCCTCTCCTCCCCCTCTCTCTCCCTCTCTCTTTCCTCCCCCCCTCTCTCCCTCCCTTTCTCTCTCTCCCCTCTCTCTTCCCCCCTCTCTCTCTTCCCCTCCCCCCCTCTCTCTCTTTCCCCCCTCTCTCTCTTCCCCTCCCCCCTTCTCTCTCTCTCCCCCCCTCTCTCTCTTCCCCTCCTCCTCCCCCCCCTCTCTCCTTCCCCCCTCTCTCTTTTCTCTCTCTCTCTCCCCCCCTCTCTCTTCCCTCTTCCCCCCTCTCTCTCCCCTCTCTCTCCTCCCCCTCTCTCTTTCTCCCCCCTCTCTCCCCCCCTCTCTCCCTCCCTTTCTCTCTCACTCCCCCCTCTCTCTCCCCTCTCTCTCTTTCCCCCCTCTCTCTCTTCTCTCCTCTCCTCCCTCTCTCTCTCCCTTTCTCTCTATTTCTCCCTCCCTCCCTATCTCTCTCTCCCCCCTCCCCCCTCTTCTTTCTTTCTCTCTCTCTCCAATTCCCCCCTCTCTCTTCCCTTTTCCCTCCCTCTCCCTCTCCCCCATCTCTCTTTCCCCCCCCTCTCTCTCCCTCCTTTCTCTCTCCCCCCCCTCTCCTCTCTCTCTCTTCCCCCCCTCTCTCTCTTCTCTCCCTCCCTTTTCTCTCTCCCCCCTCTCTCTCCCCCCCTCTCTCCCCCCCTCTCTCCCCCCTCTCTCTCTTCCCCCCCTCTCTCTCTTCTCTCCTCTCCCCCCCCCCTCTCTCCCTCCCTTTCTCTCTCTTCCCCCCTCTCTCTCTCCCCTCTCTCCCCCCCCCTCTCTTCCCCTCCTCTCCCCCCCCTCTCTCTCTTCCCCTCCCCCCCCCCTCTCTCTCTCTCCCCCCTCTCTCTCTCTCTCCCTTTCTCTCTATTTCTCCCTCCCTATCTCTCTCTCCCTCCCCCTCTCTCATCTCTTTCTCTCTCTCTCCCCCCTCTCTCTTCCCTCTTCCTCCCCTCTAGACCTCTCTCTCCCCCCATCTCTCTTTCCCCCCCCTCTCCCCCCTCTCTCTCCCTCTTCCCTTTCTCCCCCCCCCCCTCTCCTCTCTCTCTCTTCCCCCCCTCTCTCTCTTCTTTCTCTCCCTCCCTTTCTCTCTCTCCCCTCTCTCCCCCCTCTCTCCCCCTCTCTCTCCCCCCTCTCTCTCTTCCCCCCCTCTCTCTCTTCTCTCCTCTCCCCCCCTCTCTCCCTCCCTTTCTCTCTCTCTTCCCCCCTCTCGTCTCTCCCCTCTCTCTCCCCCCCCCTCTCTCTCTTTTCCCCTCCTCCCCCCCCTCTCTCTCTCCCCCCCTCTCTCTCTCCCCCTCTCTCTCCCTCTCTCTTTCCTCTCTCTCTCCCCCCCCTCTCTCTCTCTCCTCCCCTCTCCTTCCCCTCTCTCTCTCCCTCTCTCTTTCCCCCCCCTCTCTCCCTCCCTTTCTCTCTCTCCCTCCCCTCTCTCTTCCCCCCTCTTCTCTCTTCCCCTCCCCCCCCCCTCTCTCTCTTCCCCCCTCTCTCTCTTCCCCTCCTCCCCCCCTCCTCTCTCCCCCCCCTCTCTCTCTTCCCCTCCTCCCCCCCCCTCTCTCTCCCTTCCCCCCCTCTCTCTTTCTCTCTTCTCTCTCTCCAACCCCCCCTCTCTCTTCCCTCTTCCCCCCCCCTCTCTCCCCTCTCTCTCCTCCCCCTCTCTCTTTCTTTCTCCCCCCCTCCCCCTCTCCTTTCTCCCTCCCTTTCTCTCTCTCCTCTCTCTCTACTTCCCCCCCTCTCTCTCTTCTCTCCTCTCCCCCCTCTCTCTCTCCCTTTCTCTCTATTTTCTCCCTCCCTCCCTATCTCTCTCTCCCCCCTCCCTCTTCCCTCTCTCTCTCCCCCCTCTCTCTTCCTCCTCTTCCCCCCCTCCCCTCTCTCTCTCCCCATCTCTCTTTCCCCCCCCCCCCCCCTCTCCCCCCTCTCTCTCCCTCCCTTTCTCTCTCCCCCCCCTCTCTCCTCTCTCTCTCTTCCCCCCCCTCTCTCTTCCTTCTCTCCCTCCCTTTCTCTCCTCCCCCTCCCCCTCCCCCCCTCTCCTCTCCCCTCTCTCCCCTCCCCCCCTCTCCTTCCCCCCTCTCTCTCTTCCCCCCCTCTCTCTCTCTCTCTCCTCTCCCCCCCCCTCTCTCCCTCCCTTTCTCTCTCTCTCCCCTCTCCCCCCCCCCTCTCTCTCTCCCCTCTCTCTCCCCCCCCTCTCTCCCCTCCTCTCCCCCCCTCCTCTCTTCCCCTCCTCCCCCCCCCTCTCTCTCTCCCCCCTCTCACTCCCCCCTCTCTCTCCCTTTTATTTATCTCCCTCCTCTCCTCTCTTCCCCCCTCCTCTCCCCCCTCCCCTCTTCCCTCTCTCCCCCCTCTCCCCGCACCCCCCCCTCTCTCTCTCCCCCCTTCTCTCCCTCTTCTTCTCTCTCTCTCTCCCCCCCCCCCCCTCTCCCCCTTTTATTGATCCCTCTCTTTCTTCCTCTGGTGACATATGTGTATCACACAGGCAGAAGCTGGTGCCGTACTTTTCTTCCTCATCTTCAGAAAATGGTGACCCGGGTCCCTGGCTGGTCTCCGTCACGGTGTCCCCTCCTCCTCCCCCCCTCAGTGAGTATATCTACCTACACCCCCGAGGCCCCCCATGTATGAAGTGTCTGACCTAAGCATGGTCTGCGCTTTCCTCCCAGTAACCAATCAGAATCCTCCACACCTGACAATGGACAATCCATAGAACGTTTCAGCACCAGATGCTCCATATAAGGGGCTCTTGGAGATGACACATGGGGGGCCCGTACGCTCCTCCTGCTCTGTACTACACATACAATAGATCCCACTGTGATCAGATCTCTGGTAGTGAAGGGGAGGTGTGGAGGATCCTTTGCAGGGATACAGAACAGCTGACAATGGTTTCCCTTCTATCAGGAGATTATTATTATACAGTATTTATACAGATTAATATGTAATATGAAGAGATCAGACTGAGGAATGTGTGCAGGCGCAGTCTCGGCGCCGCCTAATGACGTCACATACAACCTCATCAGACGTCATCGGGAGCTTCCAGCCCGACTCCATACAGAGGAACAATGACAGTACCGTGAAGGGGAAGGAGAGTCCACATTATGAATTGTGCTGTATCAATAGATCCTGGATCCAATGATCACTAGATTCCATGCCAGACAACCAGATCCCACAGTCACTGATCACTAGATCCTGCAGTCACAGATCACTAGATCCCACATTCACTGATCACTAGATCCTGCAGTCACAGATCATCTTACAATCACAGATTACTATATAGATTTTGGATTTCATATATCACTAGATCCTGGAATCACAGACCACTGGACCCCCCCCGGGGCACATACAGTTGTGCTCAAAGGTTTCCCTCCCCCGGCAGAAATGTTGGCATTGATATTGAAAATATGACGGATCTGCCAAACAATGCTCTTTTATTGGAGGATGATGGTCATGTGACGCCATTTATTATCACAGAGTTGTGTGGCTCCTTTTAAAATCATAATCATAACAGAAATCACCCGAATGGCCCGGATCAGAAGTCTCCACCCCCGAATCAGAAGTCTCCGCCCCTGGAACAGAAGTATCCGCCTCGGATCAGAAGTCTCCGCCCCCAGATCAGAAGTATCCACCTCGGATCAGAAGTCTCCGCCCCCGAATCAGAAGTCTCCGCCCCTGGAACAGAAGTATCCACCTCGGATCAGAAGTCTCCGCCCCCGGATCAGAAGTCTCCGCCCCCAGATCAGAAGTATCCACCCCGGATCAGAAGTCTCTGCTCCTGGATCAGAAGTCTCCGCCCCCAGATCAGAAGTCTCCACCCCCCGGATCAGAAGTCTCTGCCCCCGGATCAGAAGTCTCTGCCCCCGGATCAGAAGTCTCCGTCCCTGGATCAGAAGTCTCCGTCCCTGGATCAGAAGTCTCCGCCCCCGGATCAGAAGTCTCCGCCCCTGGAACAGAAGTATTCGCCTCGGATCAGAAGTCTCCGCCCCCAGATCAGAAGTATCCACCCCGGATCAGAAGTCTCTGCTCCTGGATCAGAAGTCTCCGCCCCCAGATCAGAAGTCTTCACCCCCAAATCAGAAGTCTCCGCCCCCGGATCAGAAGTCTCTGCCCCCGGATCAGAAGTCTCCGCCCCCAGATCAGAAGTATCCACCCCGGATCAGAAGTTTCTACCCCAAGATCAGAAGTCTCCGCCCCCAGATCAGAAGTCTCCACCCCCGGATCAGAAGTCTCCACCCCCGGATCAGAAGTCTCTGCCCCCGGATCAGAAGTCTCCGCCCCCCAGAATGTTGGGCCTTGGTACAGACACACAAGGGACACACACGGGTTACAAATAGAGGTTCATGTCCCACATCTGTGGCTTCTTACATCACAATCAGTGTCAGTGTATAAATAGTCGGGGAGTTTGTTGGCTCTCATGTGGAAGCACTGACTAGGCTAGATACTGAGCCATGGGGAGCAGAAAAGAACTGTCAAAAGTCCTGCGTAACAAGGTAATGGAACTTTATAAAGATGGAAAAGGACATAAAAAGATGTCCAAAGCCTTGAATCTGCCAATCAGTTCTGTTATGTCACCTATTAAGAAGTGGAAAGTTCGGGGATCTCTGGATACCAAGCCAAGGTCAGGGAGACCAAGGAAGATGGCAGCCATAAGTGACAGAAGAATTGTCCGGGATACAAAGGGGAACCCCCCACAGGTGACCGCAGGAGGAATCCAGGCTGCTCTGGGAAAAGATGGTGCGGTTGTTTTGAAGGAGTACAATATGATGACACTGGAACAAAAAGGAGCTGCATGGTGGAGGTGCCAGAAAGAAGCTTTTACTGCACCAGTGACACAACAAAGCCCGGTTACAATATGCCTGACAACACCTTGACACGCCTAACCGGGCCTTCTTGTGTCATTGATGCAGCAAAGGCTTCTTTCTGGCACCTCCACCATGCAGCTCCTTTTTGTTCCAGTGTCATCATATTGTACTCCTTCAAAACAACCGCACCGTCTTTTCCCAGAGCAGCCTGGAGTTCTCCTGAGGTCACCTGTGGGGGGTTCCCCTTTGTATCCCGGACAATTCTTCTGTCAGTTATGGCTGCCATCTTTCTTGGTCTCCCTGACCTCGGCTTGGTATCAGGAGATCCCCGAACTTTCCACTTCTTAATAGGTGACATAACAGAACTGATTGGCATATTCAAGGCTTTGGACATCTTTTTATGTCCTTTTCCATCTTTATAAAGTTCCATTACCTTGTTACGCAGGACTTTTTGACAGTTCTTTTCTGCTCCCCATGGCTCAGTATCTAGCCTAGTCAGTGCTTCCATGTGAGAGTGAACAAACTCCCCGACTATTTATACACTGACACTGATTGTGATGTAAGAAGTCACAGATGTGGGACATTAACCTCTAATTGGCATTGTACCCCGTGTGTGTCCCCTTGTGTGTCTGTACCAAGGCCCAACATTCCAGGGGGCGGAGACTTCTGATCCAGGGGCTGAGACTTTTGATCTGGGGGGGCGGAGACTTCTGATTCAGGAGACAGACTTCTGATTGGGGCGGAGACTTCTGATCCGGGGGCGGAGACTTCTGATCCAGGGGCTGAGACTTTTGATCCGGGGGGGCGGAGACTTCTGATTCAGGAGACAGAGACTTCTGATCCGGGGGGCAGAGACTTCTGATCCGGGGGTGGAGACTTCTGATCCGGGGGTGGAGACTTCTGATCCGGGGGGGCGGAGAATTCTGATCTGGGGGGCAGAGACTTCTGATCCGGGGGGCAGAGACTTCTGATCCGGGGGTGGAGAGTTCTGATCCAGGGGGCGGAGACTTCTGATCCAGGGGGCGGAGACTTCTGATCCGGGGGGCGAGACTTCTGATTCGGGGGGCGAGACTTCTGATCCGGGGGGCAGAGACTTCTGATCCGGGGGTGGAGACTTCTGATCCGGGGGGCGGAGAATTCTGATCCGGGGGTGGAGACTTATGATCCGGGGGGCGAGACTTCTGATCCGGGGGTGGAGAGTTCTGATCCAGGGGGCGGAGACTTCTGATCCGGGGGGCGGAGACTTCTGATCCGGGGGGGCGAGACTTCTGATCCGGGGGGCGAGACTTCTGATCCGGGGGGGCGGAGACTTCTGATCCGGGGGTGGAGACTTCTGATCCGGGGGGCGAGACTTCTGATCCGGGGGGCGAGACTTCTGATCCGGGGGGCGAGACTTCTGATCCGGGGGTAGAGACTTCTGATCCGGGGGGCGAGACTTCTGATCCGGGGGTGGAGACTTCTGATCCGGGGGTGGAGACTTCTGATCCGGGGGGCGGAGACTTCTGATCCGGGGGCGGAGACTTCTGATCCGGGGGTGGAGACTTCTGATCCAGGGGGCGGAGACTTCTGATTCGGGTGATTTCTGTTATCATTATGATTTATAAAGGATCCAGACAACTCTGTGATAATAAATGGCATCACATGATCGTCATCCTCCAATAAAAGAGCATTTTTTGGCAGATCCGTCATATTTTCAATATCAATGCCAACATTTCACAATTTCTGCCGGGGGAGGGAAACTTTTGAGCACAACTGTATCAGTAGATTCCACATATCACTAGATCCCCAGCACTACAGAGCACTTAATCCCTTATTCACTGATCACTAGATCCCAGGATTGCAGATCACTTTATTTCACATAGAACTAGATCTTAGAATCACAGGATTCCTGATTTTGGAATCACATATCATTAGATCCATGAACAACATATCACTAGATCACGGAGCACTAGATCCTAGAGCCATAGTTGACTAGACCACTGGATCCTGGAATCAATATATCCCAAAACCACAGATTAGCAGCTCCTAGAACCACAGACCCCTAGATCCCAGAGTCACAGACCAATAGATCCCAGAGTCACAGACCAATAGATCCCACAGTCACAGATTATTAGGTCCTGAACCATAGACTAACATTCTAGAATCAGATTAGACCCTGGAACAACAGGTTACTAGATCCTGGAACAACAGGTTACTAGATCCTGGAACCACAGACTAATAGATCCCAGAACCAAAGATCACTAGATCCTGGAACCACAGACTAATAGATCCCAGAACCAAAGATCACTAGATCCTGGAACCACAGACTAATAGATCCCAGAACCAAAGATCACTAGATCCTGGAACCACAGACTAATAGATCCCAGGACCAAAGATCACTAGATCCTGAATATACAGACTAATAGATCCCAGAACCAAAGATCCCTGAATCCTGGAACAACAGACTAATAGATCCCAGAACCAAAGATGATTAGATCCTAGAACCAAAGATCACTAGAACCAAAGATAATTAGATCCTAGAACCAAAGATAATTAGATCCTAAAACCAAAGATAATTAGATCCTGGAACCACCGACTAATAGATCCCAGAACCAAAGATGATTAGATCCTAGAACCAAAGATCACTAGATCCTAGAACCAAAGATAATTAGATCCTAGAACCAAAGATAATTAGATCCTAGAACCAAAGATAATTAGATCCTAGAACCAAAGATGATTAGATCCTAGAACCAAAGATTACTAGATCCTGGAACCACAGACTAATAGTTTTTTTAGATCCCAGAACCAAAGATCACTAGATCCTGGAACCACAGACTAATAGATCCCAGAACCAAAGATCACTAGATCCTGGAACCACAGATTAATAGATCCCAAGACCAAAGATCACTAGATCCTGAATCCACAGACTAATAGATCCCAGAACCAAAGATCACTAGATCCTGGAACCACATACTAATAGATCTCAGAACCAAAGATCCCTGAATCCTGGAACAACAGACTAATAGATCCCAGAACCAAAGATGATTAGATCCTAGAACCAAAGATCACTAGATCCTAGAACCAAAGATAATTAGATCCTAGAACCAAAGATCACTAGATCCTGGAACCACAGAGTAATAGATCCCAGACCCAAAGATCACTAGATCCTGGAACCACAGACTAATAGATCCCAGACCCAAAGATCACTAGATCCTGGAACCACAGACTAATAGATCCCAGAACCAAAGATCACTAGATCCTGGAACCACAGACTAATAGATCCCAGACCCAAAGATCACTAGATCCTGGAACCACAGACTAATAGATCCCAGAACCAAAGATCACTAGATCCTGGAACCACAGACTAATAGATCCCAGAACCAAAGATCACTAGATCCTGGAACCACAGACTAATAGATCCCAGACCCAAAGATCACTAGATCCTGGAACCACAGACTAATAGATCCCAGAACCAAAGATCACTAGATCCTGGAACCACAGACTAAATAGATCCCAGACCCAAAGATCACTAGATCCTGGAACCACAGACTAATAGATCCCAGACCCAAAGATCACTAGATCCTGGAACCACAGACTAATAGATCCCAGAATCACAGATCACTCGATCCACTAAATATTGGAATCTAGTTCACAAGATCCTGGAATTAGGGAACATCCATCCTGGACTCACTAGATCCCAGATCCACAGCTCGATGTGCAGACCCCCCTGGAGTGTGTATGTGGGTACTGATGGGTGTGTCCCTTGGCAGGCCCTGGTACCCCCGCAGTCCTCGGGGGCGTGGTTCCTCGGTCTCAGCCCGTCTCTGCGCTCCTCTCCGGTGGATGATGTCACAGTGGGCGGGGTCGTACCACCAGGTAAGGCAGTAAGATGTTTGGGGGGAACTCCGCAGTCACACGGGGGGTCAGCACAGTGATCATGTGACTTGTTTATTGGCAGTTTTGTTTGAGGAGGTCCAGATCTGCTGCAGCTCTCCGCTTCAGGTAATCCTCTGATCTCCTATTATTGGGCCGCTCTGGGCCCCACACCTCCATAGCAGGGGCCCCCAAACCTAAAGTGGTCGGAGTTAAAAAATTGGAGGTTTGGGAGAGAAATAATACCCCAATATAGGTGGATGGGGGGGAGTAATAATACCCCAATATAGGTGGATGGGGGGGAGTAATAATACCCCAATATAGGTGGATGGAGGGGAGTAATAATACCCCAATATAGGTGGATGGGGGGAGTAATAATACCCCAATATAGGTGGACGGGGGGAGTAATAATACCCCTATAGAGGTGGATGGGGGGAGTAATAATACCCCAATATAGGTGGATGGTGGGAGTAATAATACCCCTATATAGGTGGATGGGGGGGAGTAATAATACCCCTATAGAGGTGGATGGGGGGAGTAATAATACCCCAATATAGGTGGACGGGGGGAGTAATAATACCCCTATAGAGGTGGATGGGGGGAGTAATAATACCCCTATATAGGTGGGTGGGGGGAGCAATAATACCCCTATATAGGTGGATGGGGGGAGTAATAATACCCCTATAGAGGTGGATGGGGGGGAGTAATAATACCCCAATATAGGTGGAGGGGGGGAGTAATAATACCCCTATAGAGGTGGATGGGGGGAGTAATAATACCCCAATATAGGTGGATGGGGGGGAGTAATAATACCCCAATAGAGGTGGATGGGGGGAGTAATAATACCCCTATAGAGGTGGATGGGGGGAGTAATAAATACCCCAATATAGGTGGACGGGGGGAGTAATAATACCCCTATAGAGGTGGATGGGGGGAGTAATAATACCCCAATATAGGTGGATGGGGGGAGTAATAATACTCATATAGAGGTGGATGGGGGGAGTAATAATACCCCAATATAGGTGGATGGGGGGGGAGTAATAATACCCCAATATAGGTGGATGGGGGGAGTAATAATACCCCTATAGAGGTGGATGGGGGGGAGTAATAATACCCCAATATAGGTGGACGGGGGGAGTAATAATACCCCAATAGAGGTGGATGGGGGGAGTAATAATACCCCAATAGAGGTGGATGGGGGGAGTAATAATACCCATATAGAGGTGGATGGGGGGGAGTAATAATACCCCAATATAGGTGGACGGGGGGGAGTAATAATACCCCTATAGAGGTGGATGGGGGGAGTAATAATACCCCTATAGAGGTGGATGGGGGGAGTAATAATACCCCTATATAGGTGGGTGGGGGGAGCAATAATACCCTTATATAGGTGGGGGTGGGGGGAGTAATAATACCCCTATATAGGTGGATGGGGGGAGTAATAATACCCCTATAGAGGTGGATGGGGGGGAGTAATAATACCCCTATATAGGTGGATGGGGGGGAGTAATAATACCCATATAGAGGTGGATGGGGGGGAGTAATAATACCCCTATAGAGGTGGATGGGGGGGAGTAATAATACCCCTATATAGGTGGATGGGGGGGAGTAATAATACCCCTATAGAGGTGGATGGGGGGAGTAATAATACCCCAATATAGGTGGATGGGGGGGAGTAATAATACCCCAATAGAGGTGGATGGGGGGAGTAATAATACCCCAATATAGGTGGATGGGGGGGAGTAATAATACCCCTATAGAGGTGGATTGGGGGAGTAATAATACCCCAATAGAGGTGGATGGGGTGAGTAATAATACCCCTATAGAGGTGGATGGGGGGAGTAATAATACCCCAATAGAGGTGGATGGGGGGAGTAATAATACCCAATATAGGTGGATGGGGGGAGTAATAATACCCCAATATAGGTGGATGGGGGGGAGTAATAATACCCCTATATAGGTGGATGGGGGGAGTAATAATACCCCAATAGAGGTGGATGGGGGGAGTAATAATACCCCTATAGAGGTGGATGGGGGGAGTAATAATACCCCTATAGAGGTGGATGGGGGGAGTAATAATACCCCTATAGAGGTGGATTGGGGGAGTAATAATACCCCAATAGAGGTGGATGGGGGGAGTAATAATACCCCTATAGAGGTGGATGGGGGGAGTAATAATACCCCAATAGAGGTGGATGGGGGGAGTAATAATACCCATATAGAGGTGGATGGGGGGAGTAATAATACCCCAATATAGGTGGATGGGGGGGAGTAATAATACCCCAATAGAGGTGGATGGGGGGAGTAATAATACCCATATAGAGGTGGATGGGGGGAGTAATAATACCCCAATAGAGGTGGATGGGGGGAGTAATAATACCCCTATAGAGGTGGATGGGGGGGGAGTAATAATACCCCAATAGAGGTGGATGGGAGGGAGTAATAATACCCCTATAGAGGTGGACGGGGGGGAGTAATAATACCCCTATAGAGGTGGATGGGGGGGAGTAATAATACCCCAATAGAGGTGGACGGGGGGGAGTAATAATACCCCAATAGAGGTGGATGGGGGGAGTAATAATACCCCAATAGAGGTGGATGGGGGGAGTAATAATACCCCTATAGAGGTGGACGGGGGGGGGAGTAATAAATACTTTATATCAGTGGAAGTGATAATCACTGCATTTTTTTTTTCTGCCCCCCCCCATGTTTCAGGAGCCCACCCTGTCCTCCACCCTGAGCCGGGATCACAGTTACCAATCACAGAAGGGGGTCAGTACGGGGGATCCCGGACCCCAGCAGGATGAATCCCGGGGGGAGAAGCAGCAGCCAGACACCAGTGCCGGCACAGAGCTGAAGATGAGACCTCCGGGATCGGTGACTAAGTCCAGAGCCTGCAGCAAAGTCAGAGCAGGGAAGGTAAGTTGTAGTTCCATCATCAGACCGCTCTGTCCTCAGAGGAGAGACAATCGGGGGATATACAGCCAATCTGTGCACTGCCAGTGATGGCTGACTGGGGGGGCGATAACCACCTGCTGTAACCAATGGGACGTCACCTGCTGTAACCAATGAGATGCCACCTTCTGTAACCAATGGGACGTCACCTGCTGTAACCAATGGGGCATCACCTGCTGTAACCAATGGGGCGTCACCTGCTGTAACCAATGGGATGTCACCTGCTGTAACCAATGGGGCGTCACCTGCTGTAACCAATGGGGCGTCACCTGCTGTAACCAATGGGCCATATCGTCACAAACTTTTCCAAATTGGCGCCATTCCTTCCCATTCTAATACTGACTGATTGGGAGAAGTGCAGGCCGTGCCGGAGCACAGAGACTGCAGAAAAAGAAAATGTCACATAGCAACCAACCACATAGCAACCAATCACATAGCAACCAATCAGCAATTGCCCTTTATTGCTTTGCTGAAAAAAATGAGAGAAGAGATCTGATTGGTCAGCTCTTTACTCTTCCTTATTAATAGATGAGGCTGTTGACTACCAAAGGAATGTATTGTAAACTCCAAAGACTACTTCTGGCATCAACCCTCATTCTACCGAGCTTTGCAGGGCGACCCCTTCTCTGCTCCTCATTCTGCCCCTCCTCAGTCTTCTCTGTCCCTCCTCAGTCTTCTCTGCTCCTCATTCTGCCCCTCCTCAGTCTTCTCTGTCCCTCCTCAGTCTTCTCTGCTCCTCATTCTGCCCCTCCTCAGTCTTCTCTGCTCCTCATTCTGCCCCTCTTCAGTCTTCTCTGTCCCTCCTCAGCCACATCTGCCCTTCTGTCTTCTCTGCCCCTCCTCAGTCTTCTCTGCTCCTCATTCTGCCCCTCTTCAGTCTTCTCTGCTCCTCCTCAGCCACATCTGCCTTCTGTCTTCTGTGCCCCTCCTCAGTCTTCTGTGCCCCTCCTCAGTCTTCTCTGCCCCTCCTCAGTCTTCTCTGCCCCTCCTCAGTCTTCTCTGCTCCTCCTCAGTCTTCTCTGCCCCTCTTCAGCCACATCTGCCCTTCTGTCTTCTCTGCTCCTCCTCAGTCTTCTCTGCCCCTCCTCAGTCTTCTCTGCCCCTCCTCAGTCTTTTCTGCTCCTCCTCAGTCTTCTCTGCCCCTCCTCAGTCTTCTCTGCCCCTCCTCAGTCTTCTCTGCCCCTCCTCAGTCTTCTCTGCCCCTCCTCAGTCTTCTCCGCCCCTCTTCAGTCTTCTCTGACCCTCTTCAGCCACATCTGCCCTTCTGTCTTCTCTGCCCCTCTTCTGTCTTCTCTGCCCCTTCTCAGTCATCTCTGCCCCTCCTCAGTCTTCTCTGCTCCTCCTCAGTCTTCTCTGCCCCTCCTCAGTCTTTTCTGCTCCTCCTCAGTCTTCTCTGCTCCTCCTCAGTCTTCTCTGCCCCTCCTCAGTCTTCTCTGCCCCTCCTCAGTCTTCTCTGCCCCTCTTCAGTCTTCTCTGCCCCTCTTCAGTCTTCTCTGCCCCTCTTCAGTTTTCTCTGCCCCTCCTCAGTCTTCTCTGGTCCTCCTCAGTCTTCTCTGGTCCTCAGTCTTCTCTGGTCCTCCTCAGTCTTCTCTGCCCCTCCTCAGTCTTCTCTGCCCCTCCTCAGTCTTTTCTGCTCCTCCTCAGTCTTCTCTGCCCCTCCTCAGTCTTCTCTGCCCCTCTTCAGTCTTCTCTGCCCCTCTTCAGTCTTTCTCTGCCCCTCTTCAGTCTTCTCTGTCCCTCTTCAGTCTTCTCTGTCCCTCCTCAGTCTTCTCTGCCCCTCCTCAGTCATCTCTGCCCCTCCTCAGTCTTCTCTGCCCCTCCTCAGTCTTCTCTGCCCCTCCTCAGTCTTCTCTGCTCCTCCTCAGTCTTTTCTGCCCCTCCTCAGTCTTCTCTGCCCCTCTTCAGTCTTCTCTGCCCCTCTTCAGTCTTCTCTGGTCCTCCTCAGTTATCTCTGCCCCTCCTCAGTCTTCTCTGCCCCTCCTCAGTCTTCTCTGCCCCTCTTCAGTCTTCTCTGCCCCTCTTCAGTCTTCTCTGCCCCTCCTCAGTCTTCTCTGCCCCTCGTCAGTCTTCTCTGCCCCTCTTCAGTCTTCTCTGCCCCTCTTCAGTCTTCTCTGCCCCTCCTCAGTCTTCTCTGCCCCTCCTCAGTCTTCTCTGCCCCTCCTCAGTCTTCTCTGCCCCTCTTCAGTCTTCTCTGCCCCTCCTCAGTCATCTCTGCCCCTCCTCAGTCTTCTCTGCCCCTCCTCAGTCTTCTCTGCTCCTCCTCAGTCTTTTCTGCCCCTCCTCAGTCTTCTCTGCCCCTCTTCAGTCTTCTCTGCCCCTCTTCAGTCTTCTCTGGTCCTCCTCAGTTATCTCTGCCCCTCCTCAGTCTTCTCTGCCCCTCCTCAGTCTTCTCTGCCCCTCTTCAGTCTTCTCTGCCCCTCTTCAGTCTTCTCTGCCCCTCCTCAGTCTTCTCTGCCCCTCGTCAGTCTTTCTCTGCCCCTCTTCAGTCTTCTCTGCCCCTCCTCGGTCTTCTCTGCCCCCTCCTCAGTCTTCTCTGCTCCTCCTCAGTCTTTACTGGCCCTCCTCAGTCTTCTCTGCCCCTCTTCAGTCTTCTCTGCCCCTCTTCAGTCTTCTCTGGTCCTCCTCAGTCTTATCTGCCCCTCTTCAGTCTTCTCTGTTCCTCTTCAGTCTTCTCTGACCCTCTTCAGCCACATTCTGCCCTTCTGTCTTCTCTGCCCCTCCTCAGTCTTCTCTGCCCCTCTTCAGTCTTCTCTGGCCCTCCTCAGTCTTCTCTGCCCCTTTCAGTCTTCTCTGCCCTTCTTCTGTCTTCTCTGCCCCCTCTTCTGCCCCTCCTCAGTCTTCTCTGGCCCTCCTCAGTCTTCTCTGCCCCTCCTCAGTCTTCTCTGCCCCTCCTCAGTCTTCTCTGCCCCCTCTTCAGTCTTCTCTGCCCCTCCTCAGTCATCTCTGCCCCTCCTCAGTCTTCTCTGCCCCTCCTCAGTCTTCTCTGCTCCTCCTCAGTCTTTTCTGCCCCTCCTCAGTCTTCTCTGCCCCTCTTCAGTCTTCTCTGCCCCTCTTCAGTCTTCTCTGGTCCTCCTCAGTTATCTCTGCCCCTCCTCAGTCTTCTCTGCCCCTCTTCAGTCTTCTCTGCCCCTCTTCAGTCTTCTCTGCCCCTCTTCAGTCTTCTCTGCCCCTCTTCAGTCTTCTCTGCCCCTCCTCAGTCTTCTCTGCCCCCTCGTCAGTCTCCTCTGGCCCTCCTCAGTCTCCTCTGGCCCTCCTCAGTCTCCTCTGGCCCTCCTCAGTCTTCTCTGGCCCTCCTCAGCCTTGTCTGGTCCTCCTCAGTCTTCTCTGGCCCTTCTCAGTCTTCTCTTGCCCTCCTCTGTCTTCTCTGCCCCTCCTCAGTCTTCTCTGGCCCTCCTCTGTCTTCTCTGGCCCTCCTCTGTCTTCTCTGGCCCTCCTCAGTCTTCTCTTGCCCTCTTCAGTCTTCTCTGCTCCTCCTCAGTCTTATCTGGCCCTTCTCAGTCTTGTCTTGCCCTCCTCTGTCTTCTCTGGCCCTCCTCAGTCTTCTCTGCCCCTCCTCAGTCTTCTCTGGCCCTCCTCAGTCTTCTCTCGCCCTCCTCTGTCTTCTCTGGCCTTCTTCAGTCTTCTCTGGCCTTCTTCAGTCTTCTCTCGCCCTCCTCAATCTTCTCTCGCCCTCCTCAATCTTCTCTCGCCCTCCTCAGTCTTCTCTGGCCTTCTTCAGTCTTCTCTCGCCCTCCTCAATCTTCTCTCGCCCTCCTCAGTCTTCTCTGGCCTTCTTCAGTCTTCTTTGGCCTTCTTCAGTCTTCTCTGGCCCTCCTCAGTCTTATCCATCCTACTTCCTGTGAGCCCAGGGTGTCCCGGACCCGCCCCCCCCCCTTGGGCTTGTAGGAGGACCAGCACTGTCCATCAGACCCCATATGTAGAAGTCATCATTATGACACAACATTGTCACTCCTCAGGAGACCTCTTCTGATATATCTAGCAGAGGGTTTGCAGGTCCTGATTGGTTGGGTTCTGTAGGATATATCTAGCAGAGGGTTTGCAGGTCCTGATTGGTTGGGTTCTGTAGGATATATCTAGCAGAGGGTTTGCAGGTCCTGATTGGTTGGGTTCTGTAGGATATATCTAGCAGAGGGTTTGCAGGTCCTGATTGGTTGTGTTCTGTAGGATATATCTAGCAGAGGGTTTGCAGGTCCTGATTGGTTGGGTTCTGTAGGATATATCTAGCAGAGGGTTTGCAGGTCCTGATTGGTTGGGTTCTGTAGGATATATCTAGCAGAGGGTTTGCAGGTCCTGATTGGTTGTGTTCTCTAGGATATATCTAGCAGAGGGTTTTGCAGGTCCTGATTGGTTGGGTTCTGTAGGATATATCTAGCAGAGGGTTTGCAGGTCCTGATTGGTTGGGTTCTGTAGGATATATCTAGCAGAGGGTTTGCAGGTCCTGATTGGTTGTGTTCTCTAGGATATATCTAGCAGAGGGTTTGCAGGTCCTGATTGGTTGGTTCTGTAGGATATATCTAGCAGAGGGTTTGCAGGTCCTGATTGGTTGGGTTCTGTAGGATATATCTAGCAGAGGGTTTGCAGGTCCTGATTGGTTGGGTTCTCTAGGATATATCTAGCAGAGGGTTTGCAGGTCCTGATTGGTTGGGTTCTGTAGGATATATCTAGCAGAGGGTTTGCAGGTCCTGATTGGTTGTGTTCTGTAGGATATATCTAGCAGAGGGTTTGCAGGTCCTGATTGGTTGGGTTCTGTAGGATATATCTAGCAGAGGGTTTGCAGGTCCTGATTGGTTGGGTTCTGTAGGATATATCTAGCAGAGGGTTTGCAGGTCCTGATTGGTTGTGTTCTGTAGGATATATCTAGCAGAGGGTTTGCTGGTCCTGATTGGTTGGGTTCTGTAGGATATATCTAGCAGAGGGTTTGCAGGTCCTGATTGGTTGGGTTCTGTAGGATATATCTAGCAGAGGGTTTGCAGGTCCTGATTGGTTGTGTTCTGTAGGATATATCTAGCAGAGGGTTTGCAGGTCCTGATTGGTTGGGTACTTGGTCAGCGAGGTCAGTGGGCGTTCCTGGTGTCTCATACTCCTCATTTCTGTCCTCTCAGGTGAAGCCGCCAGCCTCCGGTCACCCCCCGAGCGCACATACTTCTGGAAAAGCTGGGAAGCCGTTAGGTCCCACCAGGCTGCAGCCAATGAGGAAGAAGTGTGTGAACGGATTCATCATGTTCTGCAGACTGAACCGTAAAGCCTATCTCAGGTGACATGTGACCCTGGGATGGGGGGGGAGGGGGGATGGGGGGGGGGGGTCCGGCAGACAGAACATCCTGACTTTTATCCTTGTTTAGGGTAAATCCCGGCACGGCGTCCACTGCAGCCACCAGAGACCTGGCAGATCTGTGGAGAAATATGTCCCTGCAGGAGAGGCGGCCATACTGGTAAGAGGATTCTGGGAGATTCAGCTTTGATGGGTGTATGTCTTGGGGGAGGAGCCTTCTTCTAGAGGCGGGGCCATGGCTCTGTCATTCACTTCCATAAAAGGATGGAAATATTCTCCTTTATTTCTGGGAAAAAGTTAGATAACAGGAGGAGTGGCCTAAATTCTGGCAGGGAGGAGCCTTGTTTTGGAAGGCGGAGTCAGGTCTTTGTTACCTTCTGCTATAGAAGGATGAAAATATTCTCCCTCTTCCTGGAAAACGAGCAAAAGTGTGTCCATTCCAGAATGGTTGGGGGTGTCACAAATAGTGATGAACAGTTCTGGTGGGTAGAATGTGCAGGAGGAGAGCGGAGTTGTGTGTGTGTTCAGGAGGAGAGCGGAGGTGTGTGTGCAGGAGGAGAGCGGAGTTGTGTGTTCAGGAGGAGAGCGGAGGTGTGTGTGCAGGAGGAGAGCGGAGTTGTGTGTTCAGGAGGAGAGCGGAGGTGTGTGTGCAGGAGGAGAGCGGAGTTGTGTGTTCAGGAGGAGAGCGGAGGTGTGTGTGCAGGAGGAGAGCGGAGTTGTGTGTTCAGTGTGTGCAGGAGGGGAGAGCGGAGGGTGTGTGTGCAGGAGGAGAGTGGGGGTTTGTGTGCAGGAGGAGAGAGAAGGTGTGTGTGCAGGAGGAGAGCGGAGGTGTGTGTGCAGGAGGAGAGCGTGGGGTGTGTGTGCAGGGGGGAGAGCGTGGGTGTGTGTGCAGGAGGAGAGTGGGGGTTTGTGTGCAGGAGGAGAGAGAAGGTGTGTGTGCAGGAGGAGAGCGGGGGTGTGTGTGCAGGAGGAGAGGGGGGGGTGTGTGTGCAGGAGGAGAGCGTGGGTGTGTGTGCAGGAGGAGAGGGGGGGGGTTTGTGTGCAGGAGGAGGGAGAAGGTGTGTGTGCAGGAGGAGAGCGGAGATGTGTGTGTGCAGGATGGGAGAGGAGGTGTGTGTGTGCAGGAGGAGAGCAGAGGTGTGTGTGTGTGCAGGAAGGGAGCTGCGGGGAGCAGAGGGGTGTGTGTGTGCAGGAGGGGATCTGTGGGGAGCAGAGGTGTGTGTGTGCAGGAGGGGAGCTGTGGGGAGCAGAGGTGTGTGGCAGGGCAGGAGGGGAGCTGCGGTGTGTGTGTGCAGGAGGGGAGCTGTGGGGAGCAGAGGGTGTGTGTGTGCAGGAGGGGAGCTGTGGGGAGCAGAGGTGTGTGTGTGCAGGAGGGGAGCGGAGGGTGTGTGTGTGCTGATCTAGGCGGAATGTCGCTCCCCCTGGCCGGGGCGTTGCTGATCTAGGCGGAATGTCGCCCCCCCCGGCCGGGGCGTTGCTGATCTAGGCGGAATGTCGCTCCCCCCGGCCGCGGCGTCGCTGATCTAGGCGGAATGTCGCTCCCCCCGGCCGGGGCGTCGCTGATCTAGGCGGAATGTCGCTCCCCCCGGCCGGGGCGTCGCTGATCTAGGCGGAATGTCGCTCGCCCTGGCCGGGGCGTTGCTGATCTAGGCGGAATGTCGCTCGCCCTGGCCGGGGCGTTGCTGATCTAGGCGGAATGTCGCTACCCCTGGCCGGGGCGTTGCTGATCTAGGCGGAATGTCGCTCCCCCTGGCTGGGGCGTTGCTGATCTAGGCGGAATGTCGCTCCCCCTGGCCGGGGCGTTGCTGATCTAGGCGGAATGTCGCTCCCCCCGGCCGGGGCGTTGCTGGTGTAGGCGGAATGTCGCTCCCCCTGGCCGGGGCGTTGCTGGTGTAGGCGGAATGTCGCTCCCCCTGGCCGGGGCGTTGCTGATCTAGGACGGAATGTCGCTCCCCCTGGCCGGTGCGTTGCTGATCTAGGCGGAATGTCGCTCCCCCTGGCCGGTGCGTTGCTGATCTAGGCGGAATGTCGCTCCCCCTGCCCGTGGCGTTGCTGATCTAGGCGGAATGTCGCTCCCCCTGGCCGGGGCGTTGCTGATCTAGGCGGTATGTCGCCCCCCCTGGCCGCGGCGTTGCTTATTTAGGCTGAATGTCGCTCCCCCTGGCCGGGGCGTTGCTGATCTAGGCGGAATGTCGCTCCCCCTGGCCGGGGCGTTGCTGATCTAGGCGGAATGTCGCTCCCCCTGGCCGGGGCGTTGCTGATCTAGGCGGAATGTCGCTCCCCCTGGCCAGGGCGTTGCTTATTTAGGCGGAATGTCGCTCCCCTTGGCCGTGGCGTTGCTGATCTAGGCGGAATGTCGCTCCCCCTGGCTGCGGCGTTGCTGATCTAGGCGGAATGTCACTCCCCCTGGCCGGGGCGTTGCTGATCTAGGCGGAATGTCGCTCCCCCTGGCCGGTGCGTTGCTGATCTAGGCGGAATGTCGCTCCCCCTGGCCAGGGCGTTGCTGATCTAGGCGGAATGTCGCTCCCCCTGGCCAGGGCGTTGCTGATCTAGGCGGAATGTCGCTCCCCCTGGCCGGGGCGTTGCTGATCTAGGCGGAATGTTGCTCCCCCTGGCCGGGGCGTTGCTGATCTAGGCGGAATGTCGCTCCCCCCCTGGCCGGGGCGTTGCTGATCTAGGCGGAATGTCGCTCCCCCTGGCGGGGGGCGTTGCTGGTGTAGGCGGAATGTCGCTCCCCCCTGGCCGGGGCGTTGCTGGTGTAGGCGGAATGTCGCTCCCCCTGGCCGGGGCGTTGCTGAGAGGTGGAGCTCTGTGCTGATGGTTGTATACGGGCCGTTCTCACCCCGCCTGCCTCTCTCCGCAGTATGAAGGCTCTGCGCTTCAGTCTGAACCACGACCGTCTGGTGAAGCAGAGAAATGTGAGCCTCCTGCACGGGGACGTGTCTCCACCCAAACCGCTGACTGTGCTGCTGGCGGAGAAGTCCTGTCCGGTCACCTCGGTGCCCAGATACTCTCTCCAGGATACGGAGTTCTTCGTTCACGATCTATAAAGTTTATTGTGCTGTGTGTGTCAGGCGGATCCCCAGCAGGCTCTACAGTTTATGGGGTAGTTGTACTGTTCTCCTTGTGATGGTGATGATGGTGGTGGTGGGGGTGGTGGTGATGGTTGGTGGTGGTGGTGGTGGTGGTGGTGGTGGGGTGGTGATGGTGTGATGTGGTGGTGGTGGTGGGGTGGTGATGGTGATGATGGTGGTGGTGGTGGGGTGGTGATGGTGATGATGGTGGGTGGGTGGTGGGGGTGGTGGGTGGTGTGGTGGTGGTGGGGTGGTGATGGTGATGATGGTGGTTGTGGTGGGGTGGTGATGGTGGTGGTGGTGATGGTGGTGGTGGTGGTGATGATGGTGGTGGTTTGGGGGAGGCTGCAGACCATCCAACATGGACTGTCTGGGGTGAGGCTGAGGACCCTCCAACATGGATTCTCTGGGGAAGGTTGCAGACCATCCAACATGGACTGTCAGGGGTGAGGCTGAGGACCCTCCAACATTGATCCTCTGGGGGAGCCTGCAGACCATGCAAGATGGACTGTCGGGTGAGGCTGCAGACCCTCCAACATGAATCCTCTGGGGGAGTCTGCAGACCAACATGGACTGTCTGGGGTGAGGCTGAGGACCCTCCAACTTTGATCCTCTGGGGGAGCCTGCAGACCATCCAAGATGGACTGTCGGGTGAGGCTGTGGACCCTCCAACATGGATCCTCTGGGGGAGGCTGCAGACCATCCAAGACGGATTGTCTGGAGTGAGACTGAGGACCCTCCAACATGGATCCTTTGGGGTGAGGCTGCGGACCCTCCAACATGGATCCTTTGGGGGAGGCTGCAGACCATCCAAGATGGATTGTCTGGGGTGAGACTGAGGACCCTCCAACAAGGATCCTTTGGGGTGAGGCTGCGGACCCTCCAACATGGATTCTCAGGGGTAGGCTGCTGACCCTCCAATATGGTACCTTCTGAGGGGAGACTGTAGTTCCTCCAATATGGCTCAATTTGGGAGATGGCTGCAGACCCTTCAATGTGGATTCTCTTTGGGGAGGCTGCAGCCCCCTTTTATATGGCTCCTGTGAGGGAGGTTGCAGACCTTCCAACATGGTCCTCTCTGGGGAAAGCTGCAGACCCTTCAACATAGACCATCTAAGGTAAGGCTGCAAACCCTTCAGCATGGCTCCTCTAGGGTGAGGCTGAAGTTCCTCCAATAGGGCCCCCTTTTGGGGAGGATTTGAGGCTGCAGACCCTCCAGTGTGGATTCTCTGTTGGTAGGCTGCAGACCCTCCTAAATGATTGCTCTAGGGGAGGCTGCAGATCCTCAAACATGGTCCCATTTAGTAGGATGCTGCAGATCCTTCAACATGGTCCCCTCTGAGGTGAGGCTGCAGATCATCCATCATGGCTTTTCTGAGGTGAGGCTGCATATCATCCAAAATGGATCCTCTGGGGGAGACTGCAGACCCTCACACATGGCCCCCTTTAGTAGGATGCTGTAGACCCTCCAATATGGTTCCCTTTGGGGAGACCTGCAGACCAACATGGATCTTCTGGGGGAACGCTGCAGACCCTCCAACATGGCTCCTATAGGGTGAGGCTGTAGTTCCTCCAATAGGGCCCCCTCTCAGGGGTGGGGAGGCTGCAGACCCTCCAATGTGGATTTTCTGGGGAAGACTGCAGAGCCTCCAGTACGGTCCCATCTAGTAGGATGCTGCAGACCCTTCAACATGGTCCCCTCTGAGGTGAGGCTGCAGATCATCCATCATGGCTCATCTGTGGGAAGGCTGCAGACCATGCACATTGGATCCTCTGGGGGAGACTGCAGACTTTCCAATATGGTTTCTTCTGGGGAGAGGCTGCAGACCCTCCAACATGGATACTTTAGGATGAGGCTGTATTTCCTCCAATAGGGCCCCCTCTCAGGGGTGGGGAGTCTGCAGACCCTCCAATATGGATCCTCTGTGGGGGAGGCTGCAGACCCTCCTAAAGGGTTGCTCTAGAGGAGGCTGCAGATCCTCCAACATGGCCCCATCTAGTAGGATGCTGCAGACCCTTCGACATGGTCCCCTCTGGAATGAGGCTGTGGATCATCCAGCATGGCTTCTGTGGGGGAAACCTGCAGACCTTCCAACATGGCTTCTCTAGGGGAGGCTGCAGACCCCCCCCAACTTGGATCTTCTGGGGTATGTCAGAATCCAAATGACAACTTCCTGTTCATCTGGACCAAATCCTGTAAAACTTCCCTTGGCATCTCCAACACACAAATCCCCCTACACTGAAAACTGCCCCCTCTGTATACAAGTGCTAAATGGTCTTTACAGACCCCAATCGTTGGCTCTAGTACAGCCATAGAAATGATGCGGCCCCCAGAAATTGTATACATCAGAATTGTACCGGTTTGGGCTTTGTATGTCCTCAGAGTTGATATGGAAGAACCAAGCCAACTGACCAATGGCCCAGCCTCTCCTAAAGTGCCCTCCCAGCCTCCTGCCAAGAAAGACCCCCTACTCGTATGTTACTACTAGGGAACCAGCCCGTCACACTTCAGAAATCCCACAGGAATGGGTTCAGGTCTGGTCCAATGTTTTATCTGCTCCATAAACACCCATATCCAGCAAAACTCAGATTAGGTCTACCTCAGGAAGGACCTCACCCCAGTCTGCAGATCCCATTCCTCCCCCAATTGAAGATGGTAGACGTGAGGTGGGTTTATTGGAGATTATCCAGATTCTGCTCACCTGTATGTGTCTGGCTATAGCTTCCATTGCACCACACCAGAGGAAGAGACACCCTACAGGCCTTACTGTCCATGAACACCCTACGGGCCTTACTGTCCATGAACACCCTACAGGCCTTACTGTCCATGAGCACCCTACGGGCCTTACTGTCCATGAACACCCTACGGGCCTTACTGTCCATGAACACCCTACGGGCCTTACTGTCCATGAACACCCTACGGGCCTTACTGTCCATGAACACCCTACGGGCCTTACTGTCCATGAACACCCTACGGGCCTTACTGTCCATGAACACCCTACGGGCCTTACTGTCCATGAACACCCTACGGGCCTTACTGTCCATGAACACCCTACGGGCCTTACTGTCCATGAACACCCTACGGGCCTTACTGTCCATGAACACCCTACGGGCCTTACTGTCCATGAACACCCTACGGGCCTTACTGTCCATGAACACCCTACAGGCCTTACTGTCCATGAACACCCTACAGGCCTTACTGTCCATGAACACCCTACGGGCCTTACTGTCCATGAACACCCTACGGGCCTTACTGTCCATGAACACCCTACGGGCCTTACTGTCCATGAACACCCTACAGGCCTTACTGTCCATGAACACCCTACAGGCCTTACTGTCCATGAACACCCTACAGGCCTTACTGTCCATGAACACCCTACAGGCCTTACTGTCCATGAACACCCTACAGGCTACATTGGCTTTTATGGCAGCCAAGAAAACCATTTCAAAGTCCTGGAAACCCAGAACAGTGATCTACCATAGAGGTCAGGGGAAGGCCTGGAAAGCCGACACCCAGAGAGGTCAAGGGAAGGCCTGGAAACCCAACACCGAGAGATCTCGGGGGAACCTGGAAACATGACACGGTGATCTACCATAGATGTCAGGGGAAGGCCTGGAAAGCCGACACCATGATCTACCATAGATGTCAGGGGAAGGCCTGGAAAGCCGACACCATGATCTACCATAGAGGTCAGGGGAAGGCCTAGAAACCAAACACGGTGATCTACCACAGAGGTTGGAGTGGGGGGCCTGGAAAGCAGACACGGTGATCTAGCATTGAGGTCGGGGAAAGTCTGAAAGGCCAACAAGGTGCTCTACCAAAGAGGTCGGGGGGGGGGGGGGCATGGAAACCGACAAGGTGATCTACCAAACAGGTTGGGGGGGGCCTGAAAACCCGACACGGTGACCTACTATAGAGGTCAGGAGAAGGCCTGGAAACCCAACACGGTAATCTACCATAGAGGTCGAGGGAAGGCCTGTAAGCCGTCACGATGATCTACCATAGAGGTCGGGGGAAGGCCTGGAAACCCAACACGGTGATCTACCATAGAGGTCGGGGGAAGGCCTGGAAACCCAACACGGTGATCTAGGATAGAGGTCGGGGGAAGGCCTGGAAACCAAACACGGTGATCTACCATAGAGGTCGGGGGAAGGCCTGGAAACCCAACATGGTGATCTACCATAGAGGTCGGGGGAAGGCCTGGAAACCCAACATGGTGATCTACCATAGATTTCAAGGGAAGGCCTGGAAAGCCGACACGGTGATCTACCATAGAGGTCGGGGGAAGGCCTGGTAAACAGACATAGTGGCCTAGGATAGAAGTCGGGGAAAGTCTGGAAAGCCAACATGGTGACCTACCAAATAGGTCGGGGGGGGGGCCTGGAAACATGACACAGTGATCTACCATAGAGGTCGGGGGAAGGTCTGGGAACAGATTATCAGATTATTTTTTGCCATCTGGCTCACTGGGGAGATTTCCGTCACTTCCTGAGCCAAAACAGGAAATGAGGGAATCTCTGGGTGTCCCCATTGGAAGATTTCCCCTCACTTCCTTTTCCGGTGACAACCCAAAATGTGGGATCTTCTTCACTCTCTGTGAGAATGGTACTGAGGACATAGAGAGATTGGGGGGGTCTCCTCCCCCAACACTACAAACAAGTGTCTCTTTAGTTGTATGAAAGGGGAGGTGTGCGCTGGGGGGGGGACCCGGGGGGAGGTGTGCGCTAGGGGGGACACCCGGGGGGAGGTGTGCGCTGGGGGGGACACCCGGGGGAGGTGTGCGCTAGGGGGGACACCCGGGGGAAGGTGTGCGCTGGGGGGGGACACCCGGGGGGAGGTGTGCGCTGGGGGGGACACCCGGGGGAGGTGTGCGCTGGGGGGGGACACCCGGGGGAAGGTGTGCGCTGGGGGGGACACCCGGGGGGAGGTGTGCGCTGGGGGGGACACCCGGGGGAGGTGTGCGCTGGGGGGGACACCCGGGGGAAGGTGTGCGCTGGGGGGGACACCCGGGGGGAGGTGTGCGCTGGGGGGGACACCCGGGGGAGGTGTGCGCTGGGGGGGACACCCGGGGGGAGGTGTGCGGTGGGGGGATCACCATTTTATCCTAACACTGAACATTCCTCATACACAGCGATCCCTCCCCAACATGGCCGCCGGCTCCCCCACCTTCTCTTTCCGCCACTCCCAACATGGCGCCGGTCACGTGTTCCTCTGCCGTCCCCAATGTGTCGCTGTCCTGGTGACGCACTAACGGTGACCGGCAAGATGGCGGCGGAGACCGGCGGGGCTGAGAACGGGGGAGGCGGGGGCAGGGCGGCCGAGGAGCTGAAAGAGAGAGCCAACGAGTACTTCCGGGGTAACTGTGACCTCCCCTTCCCCCACCGAGATCTGCACCCCCAGACTGACCGCCCCCCTCCCCCACCGAGATCTGCACCCCCAGACTGACCACCCCCCTCCCCCACCGAGATCTGCACCCCCAGACTGACCGCCCCCCTCCCCCACCGAGATCTGCACCAGCTGACTGACCACCCCCCTCCCCCACCGAGATCTGCACCCCCAGACTGACCACCCCCCCTCCCCCACCTAGATCTGCACCCCCAGACTGACCACCCCCCCTCCCCCACCTAGATCTGCACCCCCAGACTGACCACCCCCCTCCCCCACCGAGATCTGCACCCCCAGACTGACCATCCCCCTCCCCCACCGAGATCTGCACCCCCTGACTGACCACCCCCCTCCCCCACCTAGATCTGCACCCCCAGACTGACCCACCCCTCCCCCACCTAGATCTGCACCCCCAGACTGACCACCCCCCTCCCCCACCTAGATCTGCACCCCCCGACTGACCACCCCCCTCCCCCACCTAGATCTGCACCCCCAGACTGACCACCCCCCCCCTCCCCCACCGAGATCTGCACCCCCAGACTGACCACCCCCCTCCCCCACCGAGATCTGCACCCCCAGACTGACCACCCCCCTCCCCCACTGAGATCTGCACCCCCTGACTGACACACCCCCCCACCTAGATCTGCACCCCCAGACTGACCACCCCCTCCCCCACCTAGATCTGCACCCCCAGACTGACCACCCCCCTCCCCCACCTAGATCTGCACCCCCCGACTGACCACCCCCCCCTCCCCCACCTAGATCTGCACCCCCAGACTGACCCACCCCCCTCCCCCACCGAGATCTGCACCCCCAGACTGACCACCCCCCTCCCCCACCGAGATCTGCACCCCCAGACTGACCACCCCCCTCCCCCACTGAGATCTGCACCCCCTGACTGAACACCCCCCCACCGAGATCTGCACCCCCAGACTGAACACCCCCTCCCCCACCGAGATCTGCACCCCCAGACTACCCACCCCCCTCCCCCACCGAGATCTGCACCCCCAGACTTACAACCCCCCTCCCCCACCGAGATCTGCACCCCCAGACTTACAACCCCCCTCCCCCACCGAGATCTGCACCCCCAGATTGACCACCCCCCTCCCCCACCGAGATCTGCACCCCCAGATCTGCACCCCCCTCCCCCACCGAGATCTGCACCCCCTCACTGACCACCCCCTCCCCCACCTAGATCTGCACCCCCAGACTGACCACCCCCCTCCCCCCACCGAGATCTGCACCCCCAGACTGACCACCCCCCTCCCCCACCGAGATCTGCACCCCCTGACTGACCTCCCCCACCGAGATCTGCACCCCCCAGACTGACCACCCTCCTCCCCCACACCCAGACTGACCACCCCCCTCCCCCACCAAGATTGACCACCCTACTACCCCTCATACCCCAGACTGACCACCCTACTACCCCCCCTCATACCCCAGACTGACCACCCTACTACCCTACATACCCCAGACTGACCACCCTACTACCCTACATACCCCAGACTGACCACCCTACTACCCTACATACCCCAGACTGACCACCCTACTACCCTACATACCCCAGACTGACCACCCTGCTACCCCACATACCCCAGACTGACCACCCTACTACCCCTCTCATACCCCAGACTGACCACCCTACTACCCCTCATACCCCAGACTGACCACCCTACTACCCCACATACCCCCAGACTGACCACCCTACTACCCCTCATACCCCAGACTGACCACCCTACTACCCCTCATACCCCAGACTGACCACCCTACTACCCCTCATACCCCAGACTGACCACCCTACTACCCCTCATACCCCAGACTGACCACCCTACTACCCCATACACCTGAAGATGACTATCCCACCTATCTCATACTGACCACCCTACTACCCCACATACCCCAGACTGACCACCCTACTACCCCTCATACCCCAGACTGACCACCCTGCTACCCCACATACCCCAGACTGACCACCCTACTACCCCTCATACCCCAGACTGACCACCCTACTACCCCTCATACCCCAGACTGACCACCCTACTACCCCATACACCTGAAGATGACTATCCCACCTATCTCATACTGACCACCCTACTACCCCACCACCCCATCTAATCCATCTACGCCAGTCTGACCACTGTACTACCCCAGTTTACCCCATCTACCCCTGACTGACCACCCTGCTACCCTTGAATGCCCCGCCCCCAGGGCATGCTGGGAGTTGTAGTGACCTGTCCTTTCCCGGCAGTGAAGGACTATGACCGCGCCGTCCAGTACTACACGGAGGCCATCGCCCTCAATCCCAACAACGCCATTTACTACGGCAACCGCAGCCTGGCGTACCTGCGCACCGAGTGCTATGGCTACGCCTTGGCCGACGCCTCCCGCGCCATCCACATCGACGCCAAATACATCAAAGGGTACTACAGGCGGGCCGCCAGCAACATGGCGCTGGGGAAGCTGAAGGCCGCGCTCAAGGACTACGAGACGGTGAGACCCCGCCCACAAATTCTCTACCTTCCCTCCACCCATCCACGGCACCATCCCTTCCCCCGCCTTCAGGTCTCCTCCCTCGCCTTCTGGTCCCCTCCTTCCAGTCCCCTCCTTCCAGTCCCCACCCCCACCTTCTGCTCCCCTCCCCCACCTTCTGCTCCCCTCCCCCACCTTCTGGTCTCCTCTTCTGCCTTCTGGTCCCCTCCCCCACCATCCAGTCCCCACTTTCCGGTCCCCTCCACCCGCCTTACGGTCCCTTCCTCTGCCCATCCCCTCCCCCACCTTCTGATCCCCTCCCCCGCCTTCGAGTCCCCTCCCCTTGCCATCTTGCCTCCGCCAAATGGTCTCCAAACCCCACCCCCTGCCATTCTGTCTCCACCCCCTCCACCTGGTCCCTAATCCCCACCCCCCTCGACCGCCATGCAGTCCCCAATCCCCACTCCCGCTGTCTGGTGTCCCCCCACCCCCGCCATCTGATCCCCCACCCCCGCCATCTGATCCCCCACCCCCGCCATCTGATCCCCCACCCCTGCCATCTAGTACCTAAATCCCCCCCCCCCCCCCCCCACCCACCATCCCACAACCAATTCCTCGCCCCTCACCTATTACTCCCTCACCTCCTTCTGCTCCTACCCACTTTACTCCCCCGCCCCCCCTCCCCTTCCTGTCCCCCCTCACCCGTGTCTCCTCCCCCCAGGTGGTGAAGGTCCGCCCCAATGACAAGGACGCTCAGATGAAGTTCCAGGAGTGCAGCAAGTTGGTGCGGCAGAAAGCGTTTGAGCGAGCGATTGCCTGCGACCAACACAACCGATCCGTGGTCGACTCTCTGGACATTGAAGGAATGAGTAAGTGAGGGGGAGGGGGGGGGCAGGGGAGGGGTAAGTGAGGGGGGGCGGAAGAAGGGAGGGGAGGGGTAAGTGAGGGGGGGCGGAGGGTCGGAGGAGGGGAGGGAAGGGGTAAGTGAGGGGGAGGGGGGGGTCAGGGGGAGGGGAGGGGTAAGTGAGGGGGGGCGGAAGAAGGGAGGGGAGGATTAGGTGATGGGGGCGGAGAGTCGGAGGAGGGGAGGGGGGTTCAGGGTAAGTGAGGGGGGCAGAGGGTCGGAGGAGGGGAGGGGGGGTCAGGGTAAGTGAGGGGGGCAGAGGGTCGGAGGAGGGGAGGGGGGGTCAGGGTAAGTGAGGGGGGCAGAGGGTCGGAGGAGGGGAGGGGGGGTCAGGGTAAGTGAGGGGGGCAGAGGGTCGGAGGAGGGGAGGGGGGGTCAGGGTAAGTGAGGGGGGCAGAGGGTCGGAGGAGGGGGGGGGGGTCAGGGTAAGTGAGGGGGGCAGAGGGTCGGAGGAGGGGAGTGGGGGGTTGGAAGAAGTGAGGGGAAGGGGGGTCAGAGGAGGGTTACAAGAAGGGAGGGGTAAGTAAGGGGGAGGAGGGGAGGGGAGCAGAGAATCGGAAGAAGGGAGGGGAGGAGTGAGGGAGGAGGGGGGGGGGTTCAGGGTAAGTGAGGGGGGCGAAGGGGGAGGGGGAGCGAAGGGTTGGAAGAAGTGAAAGGAGGGGTCATAGTAAGTGAGGGTGGCGGAGGAGCGGAGGGTTGGAAGAAATTAGGGGGGAGCAGATAAGTGGGGTAAGTGGGGGGAGGAGGGTCGGAGAAGGGGAGGGGGAGCAGTGGGTCGGAAGAAGAAAAGGGAGGGGGGATCAGGGTAAGTGAGGGGGCGGAGGGTCAGAGGAAGGGAGTGGAAGTTTTGAAGAAGGGAGGGGTAAGTAAAGGTGGCAGAGGAGGGGAGGGTTGGGGTAAGTGAGGGCGGCGAGGAGGGGAGGGGTAACTGATGGGGGCAGAGGGTTGGAGGAGGGGAGGGTGAGCGGATAGTCGAAAGAAATGAGGGTCGGAGGAGGGGAGGGAAGGGGTAAGTGAGGGGGGTGGAGGAGAGGAGGGGAGGGAAGGGGTAAGTGAAGGGGGTGGAGGAGGAGGGGAGAGAAGGGGTAAGTGAGGGGGGTGGAGGAGAGGAGGGGAGAGAAGGGGTAAGTGAGGGGGGTGGAGGAGAGGAGGGGAGAGAAGGGGTAAGTGAGGGGGGTGGAGGAGAGGAGGGGAGGGAAGGGGTAAGTGAAGGGGGTGGAGGGAGAGGAGGAGGGGAGGGAAGGGGTAAGTGAGGGGGGGTGGAGGAGAGGAGGGGAGGGGTAAGTGAGGGGGGTGGAGGAGAGGAGGGGAGGGGTAAGTGAGGGGAGGGGAGGGGTAAGTGAGGGGAGGGAAGAGGTAAGTGAGGGGGCGGAGGGTCCGAGGAGGGAAGAGGTGAGGGGCGGAGGAGGGGAGGGAAGGGGTAAGTGGGAGGGGCAGAGGAAGTGAGGGGAGGGAAGAGGTAAGTGAGGGGGTGGAGGGTTCGAGGAGGGAAGAGGTGAGGGGCGGAGGAGGGGAGGGAAGGGGTAAGTGGGAGGGGCAGAGGAAGTGAGGGGAGGGAAGAGGTAAGTGGGGGGGGCGGGGGAGAGGGGGGAAGGGGTAAGTTAGCGGGTGGAGGGTCTGAGGAGGGGAGGGAAGGGAAGGGGTAAGTGAGGGGGCGGAGGGTTTGAGGAGGGGAGAGGAGAGTTAGGGTGAGGGGGGCAGTTGGTCGGAGGAGGGGAGGGAAGGGGTAAGTGAGGGGGGCGGAGGGTTGGAGGAGGGGAGAGTTAGGGTGAGGGGGGCGGATGGTCGGAGGAGGGGAGGGAAGGGGTAAGTGAGGGGGGCGGAGGGTTGGAGGAGGGGAGAGTTAGGGTGAGGGGGGGGGGGGGGATGGTCGGAGGAGGGGAGGGAAGGGGTAAGTGAGGGGGGGGCGGAGGGTTGGAGGAGGGGGAGAGTTAGGGTGAGGGGGGGCGGATGGTCGGAGGAGGGAAGGGGTAAGTGAGGGGGCGGAGGGGAGGGGAGAGTTAGGGTGAGGGGGGCGGATGGTCGGAGGAGGGGGAGGGAAGGGGTAAGTGAGGGGCAGAGGGTTGGAGGAGGGGAGAGGAGAGTTAGGGTGAGGGGGGAGGATGGTCGGAGGAGGGGAGGGAAGGGGTGAGGGGGCGGAGGGTTGGAGGAGGGGAGGGGAGAGTTAGGGTGAGGGGGGGGGATGGTCGGAGGAGGGGAGGGGTAAGTGAGGGGGAGGAGGGGAGGAGGTTAGGGTGAGGGGGGCGGAGGGTCGGAGGAGGGGAGGGGTCTCGTCCTTTACATTGTATTTGGCTCATTGGTGTATGGGAGGGGGAGGAGTTCTGGAATCCGGTTTTGGTGTCGGTATAAATGGGAGGAGTCTTCTGATGGTAGGATGGGGGCGGCACCATCTAGGAATCATCTCCTGTAATTTGAGGTCATTGTGTCCAACGATTGGTCAGACAGGAATCCCATGGAAAGCTCCTCCCCCGAGGATGACTGTCTTACAGTGGAGCCCTGGGACAGCCAGCAGTTCTGTATACATAGCCGTGTGTTCCCCCCCATTGGCTGTCCTGGTGTTCACATGATCAGGATCCCCGGCTGATTGGTTGCAGGCTGTCAGTGGTGGTAGAACTAGGAGCGCACAGCTGCACTCTCCGCCTGCAATGGATGTAGATGAGCCGTCTGTCAGCAGGGGGTGCTGTGCTGAGGAATGATCATCTACAGACTGCGGTCAGGAGTGGGTGGGGCCAACTCCAGGTAAATTTGTTTTCAATGCTCCGCCTCCCATAGGTGTGTCCTAATCTGGGGCTCCAATTGGGTTGATGTTCCCTTTATGGCGGCAACTTTATGGGTTTGCCTTGTGGAGGTAAAGCTGACAAACTCCACCTACCTGGGGTGTGCCCGGAGGAAGAGCACCTACCTGGGGTGTGCCCGGAGGAAGAGCACCTACCTGGGGTGTGCCCGGAGGAAGAGCACCTACCTGGGGTGTGCCCGGAGGAAGAGCACCTACCTGGGGTGTGGCCGGAGGAAGAGCACCCACCTGGGGTGTGGCCGGAGGAAGAGCACCCACCTGGGGTGTGGCCGGAGGAAGAGCACCTACCTGGGGTGTGGCCGGAGGAAGAGCACCTACCTGGGGTGTGGCCGGAGGAAGAGCACCTACCTGGGGTGTGGCCGGAGGAAGAGCACCCACCTGGGGTGTGGCCGGAGAAAGAGCACCTATTTGGTCATTTGGCCAGCCTGTTCTATAGCACTCTCCTATATTGGGGTGTCGTATTTCAGGGTGTCATATATCGGGGTGTCATATATCGGGGTGTTATCTCCCCCCAGCCATAGAAGACGAGTAATCGGGGCTGCAGCTACAGGACGGGATGTTGTGTGTCACTCTCCTATATCGGGGTGTCATATTTCGGGGTGTCGTTTTTCTCCCCCCAGCCATAGAAGACGAGTACTCTGGGCCGCAGCTGCAGGACGGGATATTGTGTCGCTCTCCTATATCGGGGTGTCGTATATCGGGGTGTCGTATATCGGGGTGTCGTATATCGGGGGGTGTCGTATATCGGGGTGTCATATTTTGGGGGTGTCGTATTTTGGGGTGTCGTTTTCTCCCCCCCAGCCATAGAAGGCGAGTACTCGGGGCCGCAGCTGCAGGACGGAATGTTGTTGTGTCGCTGTCCTATATCGAAGTGTCGTATATCAGGGTGTCGTATATCAGGGTGTCGTATATCGGGGTGTCGTATATCGGGGTGTCACATATCGGGGTGTCATATTTCGGGGTGTCGTTTTCTCCCCCAGCCATAGAGGACGAGTACTCGGGGCCGCAGCTGCAGGACGGGATGTTGTGTGTCGCTCTCCTATAGTGGGGTGTCGTATATCGGGGTGTCGTATATCGGGGTGTCGTATATCGGGGTGTCGTATATCGGGGTGTCGTATATCGGGGGGTGTCACATATCGGGGTGTCATATTTCGGGGTGTCGTTTTCTCCCCCCAGCCATAGAAGACGAGTACTCGGGGCCGCAGCTGCAGGACGGGATGTTGTGTGTCGCTCTCCTATATCGGGGTGTTGTATATCGGGGTGTTGTATATCGGGGTGTCACATATCGGGGTGTTGTATATCGGGGTGTTGTATATCGGGGTGTCGTATATCGGGGTGTCACATATCGGGGTGTCGTATATCGGGGTGTCGTATATCGGGGTGTCACATATCGGGGTGTCACATATCGGGGTGTCACATATCGGGGTGTCGTTTTCTCCCCCCAGCCATAGAGGACGAGTACTCGGGGCCGCAGCTGCAGGACGGGATGTTGTGTGTCGCTCTCCTATATCGGGGTGTCGTATATCGGGGGGTGTCGTATATCGGGGTGTTGTATATCGGGGTGTCGTATATCGGGGTGTCGTATATCGGGGTGTTGTATATCGGGGTGTCACATTTCGGGGGTGTCGGTTTCTCCCCCAGCCATAGAGGACGAGTACTCGGGGCCCGCAGCTGCAGGACGGGATATTGTGTGTCGCTCTCCTATATCGGGGTGTTGTATTTCGGGGTGTCACATATCTGGGTGTCATATTTTGGGGTGTCCGTTTTCTCCCCCCAGCCATAGAGGACGAGTACTCGGGGCCGCAGCTGCAGGACGGGATGTTGTGTGTCGCTCTCCTATATCGGGGTGTGTCGTATATCGGGGTGTCACATATCGGGGTGTCACATATCGGGGTGTCACATTTCGGGGTGTCGTTTTCTCCCCCCAGCCATAGAGGACGAGTACTCGGGGCCGCAGCTGCAGGACGGGAAGGTCTCCTTGGATTTCCTGGTGGAATTGATGACGTTCTATAAAGAGCAGAAGAAGCTGCACAGGAAGTACGTGTATCAGGTGAGAGGATGAAGGGGGGGATGGGCCTGTATATGGGGGGGATGGGTCTGTATATGGGGGGGATGGGTCTGTATATGGGGGGGCCTGTGTATTGGGGTGACTGATCCCCCCCTCCCCCATCTCTCTGCAGATATTGGTCCAGGTGAAGGAGACTCTGGCTCAGCTGCCCAGCCTGGTGGAGGTGTCCTTGGATAAGGTGTGAACTCTCCCTGATCTCCTCCCACTGCTGATCTCCTCCCACTGCTGATCTCCTCCCACTGCTGATCTCCTCCCACTGCTGATCTCCTCCCACTGCTGATCTCCTCCCACTGCTGATCTCCTCTTGTGCTGACCTCCTGTGCTGTTCTCCTCCTGTGCTGTTCTCCTCCTGTGCTGGTCTCCTCCTGTGCTGGTCTCCTCCTGTGCTGGTCTCCTCCCACTGCTGGTCTCCTCCTGTGCTGATCTCCTCCCACTGCTGATCTCCTCTTGTGCTGGTCTCCTGTGCTGATCTCCTCCTGTGCTGGTCTCCTCCTGTGCTGGTCTCCTCCCACTGCTGGTCTCCTCCTGTGCTGATCTCCTCCCACTGCTGATCTCCTCTTGTGCTGGTCTCCTGTGCTGATCTCCTCCTGTGCTGGTCTCCTCCTGTGCTGGTCTCCTTCCACTGCTGATCTCCTCCTGTGCTGGTTTCCTCCCACTGCTGATCTCCTCCCACTGCTGATCTCCTCCCACTGCTGATCTCCTCCCACTGCTGATCTCCTCTTGTGCTGGTCTCCTGTGCTGGTCTCCTGTGCTGGTCTCCTCCCACTGCTGATCTCCTCCCACTGCTGATCTCCTCCCACTGCTGATCTCCTCCCACTGCTGATCTCCTCCCACAGCTGATCTCCTCCCACAGCTGATCTCCTCCCACAGCTGATCTCCTCCCACAGCTGATCTCCTCCCACTGCTGGTCTCCTCCCACTGCTGGTCTCTTGTGCTGATCTCCTCCCACTGCTGATCTCCTCCCACTGCTGATCTCCTCCCACTGCTGATCTCCTCTTGTGCTGGTCTCCTGTGCTGGTCTCCTGTGCTGGTCTCCTCCCACTGCTGATCTCCTCCCACTGCTGATCTCCTCCCACTGCTGATCTCCTCCCACTGCTGATCTCCTCCCACTGCTGATCTCCTCCCACAGCTGATCTCCTCCCACAGCTGATCTCCTCCCACAGCTGATCTCCTCCCACAGCTGATCTCCTCCCACTGCTGGTCTCCTCCCACTGCTGGTCTCTTGTGCTGATCTCCTCCCACTGCTGATCTCCTCCCACTACTGATCTCCTGTGCCGGTCCTCCTGCAGGCTCTCACCTCCCCCTCTCTCCCAGTCTCAGCAGGTGACGGTATGCGGGGACACACACGGACAATTCTATGATCTGATGAACATCTTCCAGCTCAACGGCCTCCCGTCAGAGAGCAACCCCTACGTATCCTTCCCATGGGGGGGGGGGTTCTGTGTGTCCTGTGAGGGGGGGGGGTCTGTGTGTCCTGTGAGGGGGGGGGTCTGTGTGTCCTGTGAGGGGGGGGGATCTGTGTGTCCTGTGTGCAGGGGGGGTCTCTGTGTGTCCTGTCTCTGTGGGGGGGGGGCTCTCTGTGTCCTGTCCCTGTGTGGGGGGGCTCTGTGTTTCCTGTCCCTGTGTGGGGGGGCTCCGTGTGTCCTGTCCCTCTGGGGGGGCTCTGTGTCCTGTCCCTGTGTGGTGGGGGGGCTCCGTGTGTCCTGTCCCTGTGTGGGGGGGCTCCGTGTGTCCTGTCCCTCTGGGGGGGCTCTGTGTCCTGTCCCTGTGTGGTGGGGGGGCTCCGTGTGTCCTGTCCCTGTGTGGGGGGGCTCCGTGTGTCCTGTCCCTGTGTGGGGGGGCTCCTGTGTCCTGTCCCTGTGTGGGGGCTCTGTGTGTCCTGTCCCTGTGTGGGGGGGCTCCTGTGTCCTGTCCCTGTGTGGGGGCTCTGTGTGTCCTGTCCCTGTGTGGGGGGGCTCTGTGTCCTGTCCCTGTGGTGGGGGGGGGCTCCGTGTGTCCTGTCCCTGTGTGGTGGGGGGGCTCCGTGTGTGTCCTGTCCCTGTGTGGTGGGGGGGGCTCCGTGTGTCCTGTCCCTGTGTGGTGGGGGGGCTCCGTGTGTCCTGTCCCTGTGTGGTGGGGGGGCTCCGTGTGTCCTGTCCCTGTGTGGGGGGGCTCCGTGTGTCCTGTCCCTGTGTGGGGGGGGCTCTGTGTTTCCTGTCCCTGTGTGGGGGGGCTCTGTGTTTCCTGTCCCTGTGTGGGGGGGCTCTGTGTGTCCTGTCCCTGTGTGGGGGGGCTCTGTGTGTCCTGTCCCTGTGTGGGGGGGCTCTGTGTGTCCTGTCCCTGTGTGGGGGGGCTCTCTGTGTCCTGTCCCTGTGTGGGGGGGCTCCGTGTGTCCTGTCCCTGTGTGGGGGGGCTCCGTGTGTCCTGTCCCTGTGTGGGGGGGGCTCCGTGTTTCCTGTCCCTGTGTGGGGGGGCTCCTGTTTGTGTGTGTCCTGTCCCTCTGGGGGGGCTCTGTGTCCTGTCCCTGTGTGGTGGGGGGGCTCCGTGTGTCCTGTCCCTGTGTGGGGGGGCTCCGTGTGTCCTGTCCCTGTGTGGGGGGGCTCCTGTGTCCTGTCCCTGTGTGGGGGCTCTGTGTGTCCTGTCCCTGTGTGGGGGGGCTCCGTGTGTCCTGTCCCTGTGTGGGTGGGGGGGCTCCTGTGTCCTGTCCCTGTGTGGTGGGGGGGCTCCGTGTGTCCTGTCCCTGTGTGGGGGGGCTCCGTGTGTCCTGTCCCTCTGGGGGGGCTCTGTGTCCTGTCCCTGTGTGGTGGGGGGGCTCCGTGTGTCCTGTCCCTGTGTGGGGGGGCTCCGTGTGTCCTGTCCCTGTGTGGGGGGGCTCCTGTGTCCTGTCCCTGTGTGGGGGCTCTGTGTGTCCTGTCCCTGTGTGGGGGGGGCTCCTGTGTCCTGTCCCTGTGTGGGGGCTCTGTGTGTCCTGTCCCTGTGTGGGGGGGCTCTGTGTCCTGTCCCTGTGTGGTGGGGGGGCTCCGTGTGTCCTGTCCCTGTGTGGTGGGGGGGCTCCGTGTGTCCTGTCCCTGTGTGGTGGGGGGCTCCGTGTGTCCTGTCCCTGTGTGGTGGGGGGGCTCCGTGTGTCCTGTCCCTGTGTGGGTGGGGGGGCTCCGTGTGTCCTGTCCCTGTGTGTGGGGGGGCTCCGTGTGTCCTGTCCCTGTGTGGTGGGGGGGCTCTGTGTGTCCTGTCCCTGTGTGGGGGGGCTCCGTGTGTCCTGTCCCTGTGTGGGGGGGCTCCGTGTGTCCTGTCCCTGTGTGGTGGGGGGGCTCTGTGTGTCCCTGTCCCTGTGTGGGGGGGCTCCGTGTGTCCTGTCCCTGTGTGGGGGGGCTCCTGTGTCCTGTCCCTGTGTGGGGGGGCTCCGTGTGTGTCCTGTCCCTGTGTGGGTGGGGGGGCTCCTGTGTCCTGTCCCTGTGTGGGGGGGGGGGCTCGTGTGTGTCCTGTCCCTGTGTGGGGGGGCTCCGTGTGTCCTGTCCCTGTGTGGGGGGGCTCCGTGTGTGTCCTGTCCCTGTGTGGGGGGGCTCCGTGTGTCCTGTCCCTGTGTGGGGGCTCCGTGTGTCCTGTCCCTGTGGGGGGGCTCTGTGTGTCCTGTCCCTGTGTGGGGGGGCTCCGTGTGTCCTGTCCCTGTGTGGGGGGGCTCTGTGTGTCCTGTCCCTGTGTGGGGCGGCTCCTGTGTCCTGTCCCTGTGTGGGGGGGCTCCGTGTGTCCTGTCCCTGTGTGGGGGGGCTCCTGTGTCCTGTCCCTGTGTGGGGGGGCTCCGTGTGTCCTGTCCTGTGTGTGGGGGGGCTGTCCTGTCCTGTCCCTGTGTGGGGGGGCTCCGTGTGTCCTGTCCCTGTGTGGGGGGGCTCCGTGTGTCCTGTCCCTGTGTGGGGGGGCTCCTGTGTCCTGTCCCTGTGTGGGGGGGCTCCGTGTGTCCTGTCCCTGTGTGGGGGGGCTCCGTGTGTCCTGTCCCTGTGTGGGGGGGCTCCTGTGTCCTGTCCCTGTGTGGGGGGGCTCCGTGTGTCCTGTCCCTGTGTGGGGGGGCTCCTGTGTCCTGTCCCTGTGTGGGGGGCTCCTGTGTCCTGTCCCTGTGTGGGGGGGCTCCGTGTGTCCTGTCCCTGTGTGGTGGGGGGGCTCTGTGTGTCCTGTCCCTGTGTGGGGGGGCTCCGTGTGTCCTGTCCCTGTGTGGGGGGGCTCCGTGTGTCCTGTCCCTGTGTGGTGGGGGGGCTCTGTGTGTCCTGTCCCTGTGTGGGGGGGCTCCGTGTGTCCTGTCCCTGTGTGGGGGGGCTCCTGTGTCCTGTCCCTGTGTGGGGGGGCTCCGTGTGTCCTGTCCCTGTGTGGGTGGGGGGGCTCCTGTGTCCTGTCCCTGTGTGGGTGGGGGGGGCTCCGTGTGTCCTGTCCCTGTGTGGGGGGGGCTCCGTGTGTCCTGTCCCTGTGTGGGGGGGCTCCGTGTGTCCTGTCCCTGTGTGGGGGGGCTCCGTGTGTCCTGTCCCTGTGTGGGGGCTCCGTGTGTCCTGTCCCTGTGGGGGGGCTCTGTGTGTCCTGTCCCTGTGTGGGGGGCTCCGTGTGTCCTGTCCCTGTGTGGGGGGGCTCTGTGTGTCCTGTCCCTGTGTGGGGGGGCTCCGTGTGTCCTGTCCCTGTGTGGGGGGGCTCCTGTGTCCTGTCCCTGTGTGGGGGGGCTCCGTGTGTCCTGTCCCTGTGTGGGGGGGCTCCTGTGTCCTGTCCCTGTGTGGGGGGGCTCCGTGTGTCCTGTCCCTGTGTGGGGGGGCTCCGTGTGTCCTGTCCCTGTGTGGGGGGGCTCTGTGTCCTGTCCCTGTGTGGGGGGGCTCCGTGTGTCCTGTCCCTGTGTGGGGGGGCTCCTGTGTCCTGTCCCTGTGTGGGGGGCTCCGTGTGTCCTGTCCCTGTGTGGGGGGGCTCCGTGTTTCCTGTCCCTGTGTGGGGGGGCTCTGTGTCCTGTCCCTGTGTGGGGGGGCTCCTGTGTCCTGCCCCCCCCATGTCACTCATCCTGGGGGGTTTCCTGAACTGCGCAGATCTTTAATGGGGACTTCGTGGATCGCGGCTCGTTCTCGGTGGAGGTTATAGTGACTCTCTGCGGCTTCAAGCTTCTCTATCCGGCCCACTTCCACCTACTGAGAGGTAAGTCCTCAGGTCTGTGGGGGCCGTCATCGGGGTCCCCCCCCCCCTAATATCAGGGACCTGGGCGTGGTCTGACCTATTGGAGGATCCCCATAGACTTCCTGACTGATTACAATGATGGCGGACTGTGTCCTGCTCTCACACGTTCTCTCCATGCAGTGGTGGTGGGAGGTTGCAGGCCCCGGTGTCACCAGTCTCTCTCAGTTGTCTCCATGCAGCGGTGGTGGGAGGTTTCAGGCCCAGGTGTCACCAGTCTCGGTCCTCTCCATGCAGTGGTGGTGGGAGGTTGCAGGCCCCGGTGTCACCAGTCTCGGTCCTCTCCATGCAGTGGTGGTGGGAGGTTGCAGCCCCGGTGTCACCAGTCTCGGTCCTCTCCATGCAGTGGTGGTGGGATGTTGCAGCCCCGGTGTCACCAGTCTCGGTCCTCTCCATGCAGTGGTGGTGGGAGGTTGCAGGCCCCGGTGTCACCAGTCTCTGTCCTCTCCATGCAGTGGTGGTGGGAGGTTGCAGGCCCCGGTGTCACCAGTCTCAGTTGTCTCCATGCAGTGGTGGTGGGAGGTTGCAGGCCCCGGTGTCACCAGTCCCTCAGTCCTCTCCATGCAGCGGTGGTGGGAGGTTGCAGGCCCCGGTGTCACCAGTCTCCATGCAGCGGTGGTGGGAGGTTGCAGGCCCCGGGGTCACCAGTCTCTCAGTGCAGGCCCCTCTCCATGCATGCAGCGGTGGTGGGAGGTGGTGTGGGAGCGGTGGTGGGGTTGCAGGCCCCGGTGTCGCCAGTCTCCATGCAGCGGTGGTGGGAGGTTGCAGGCCCCGGTGTCACCAGTCTCGGTCCTCTCCATGCAGTGGGTGGTGGGAGGTTGCAGGCACCAGTCTCCATGCAGCGGTGGTGGGAGGTTGCAGGCCCCGGTGTCACCAGTCCAGTCCTCTCCATGCAGCGGTGGTGGGAGGTTGCAGCCCCGGTGTCACCAGTCTCGGTCCTCACCTCCATGCAGCGGTGGTGGGAGGTTGCAGGCCCCGGTGTCACCAGTCTCGGTCCTCTCCATGCAGTGGTGGTGGGAGGTTGCAGGCCCCGGTGTCACCAGTCTCAGTCCTCTCCATGCAGTGGTGGTGGGAGGTTGCAGGCCCCGGTGTCACCAGTCTCTCAGTCCTCTCCATGCAGTGGTGGTGTGGGAGGTTGCAGGCCCCGGTGTCACCAGTCTCCATGCAGCGGTGGTGGGAGGTTGCAGGCCCCGGTGTCACCAGTCTCGGTCCTCTCCATGCAGTGGTGGTGGGAGGTTGCAGGCCCCGGTGTCACCAGTCTCAGTCCTCTCCATGCTGCGGTGGTGGGAGGTTGCAGGCCCCGGTGTCACCAGTCTCTCAGTCCTCTCTCCATGCAGCGGTGGTGGGAGGTTGCAGCCCCCGGTGTCACCAGTCTCGGTCCTCTCCATGCAGTGGTGGTGGGAGGTTGCAGGCCCCGGTGTCACCAGTCTCGGTCCTCTCCATGCAGTGGTGGTGGGAGGTTGCAGGCCCCGGTGTCACCAGTCTCTGTCCTCTCCATGCAGTGGTGGTGGGAGGTTGCAGGCCCCGGTGTCACCAGTCTCGGTCCTCATCCATGCAGTGGTGGTGGTGAGGTTGCAGGCCCCGGTGTCACCAGTCAGTCCTCTCCTCAGTCTCAGTGTCTCCATGCAGTGGTGGTGGGAGGTTGCAGGCCCCGGTGTCACCAGTCTCCATGCATGCAGCGGTGGTGGGAGGTTGCAGGCCCCGGTGTCACCAGTCTCGGTCCTTTCCATGCAGTGGTGGTGGGATGTTGCAGCCCCGGTGTCACCAGTCTCGGTCCTCTCCATGCAGTGGTGGTGGGAGGTTGCAGGCCCCCGGTGTCACCAGTCTCTGTCCAGTCCTCTCCATGCAGTGGTGGTGGGAGGTTGCAGGCCCCGGTGTCACCAGTCTCAGTTGTCTCCATGCAGTGGTGGTGGGAGGTTGCAGGCCCCGGTGTCACCAGTCCCTCAGTCCTCTCCATGCAGCGGTGGTGGGAGGTTGCAGGCCCCGGTGTCACCAGTCAGTCCTCTCCATGCAGCGGTGGTGGGAGGTTGCAGGCCCCGGGTCACCAGTCTCTCAGTCCTCTCCATGCAGCGGTGGTGGGAGGTTGCAGGCCCCGGTGTCGTCCCAGTCTCCATGCAGCGGTGGTGGGAGGTTGCAGGCCCCGTTGTCACCAGTCTCCATGCAGCGGTGGTGGGATGTTGCAGCCCCGGTGTCACCAGTCTCGGTCCTCTCCATGCAGCGGTGGTGGGAGGTTGCAGGCCCCGGTGTCGCCAGTCTCCATGCAGCGGTGGTGGGAGGCTGCAGGCCCCGGTGTCACCAGTCTCAGTCCTCTCCATGCAGCGGTGGTGGGAGGTTGCAGCCCCCGGTGTCACCAGTCTCTCAGTCCTCTCCATGCAGCGGTGGTGGGAGGTTGCAGGCCCCGGTGTCACCAGTCTCCATGCAGCGGTGGTGGGAGGTTGCAGGCCCCGGTGTCACCAGTCTCGGTCCTCTCCATGCAGTGGTGGTGGGAGGTTGCAGGCCCCGGTGTCACCAGTCTCAGTCCTCTCCATGCTGCGGTGGTGGGAGGTTGCAGGCCCCGGTGTCACCAGTCTCAGTCCTCTCCATGCAGTGGTGGTGGGAGGTTGCAGGCCCCGGTGTCACCAGTCTCAGTCCTCTCCATGCTGCGGTGGTGGTGGGAGGTTGCAGGCCCCGGTGTCACCAGTCTCTCAGTCCTCTCCATGCAGCGGTGGTGGGAGGTTGCAGCCCCGGTGTCACCAGTCTCCATGCAGCGGTGGTGGGAGGTTGCAGGCCCCGGTGTCACCAGTCTCGGTCCTCTCCATGCAGTGGTGGTGGGAGGTTGCAGGCCCCGGTGTCACCAGTCTCAGTCCTCTCCATGCTGCGGTGGTGGGAGGTTGCAGGCCCCGGTGTCACCAGTGTCTCTCAGTCCTCTCTATGCAGCGGTGGTGGGAGGTTGCAGCCCCGGTGTCACCAGTCTCGTCCTCTCCATGCAGTGGTGGTGGGAGGTTGCAGGCCCCGGTGTCACCAGTCTCGGTCCTCTCCATGCAGTGGTGGTGGGATGTTGCAGCCCCGGTGTCACCAGTCTCGGTCCTCTCCATGCAGTGGTGGTGGGAGGTTGCAGGCCCCGGTGTCACCAGTCTCTGTCCTCTCCATGCAGTGGTGGTGGGAGGTTGCAGGCCCCGGTGTCACCAGTCTCAGTTGTCTCCATGCAGTGGTGGTGGGAGGTTGCAGGCCCCGGTGTCACCAGTCCCTCAGTCCTCTCCATCCAGCGGTGGTGGGAGGTTGCAGGCCCCGGTGTCACCAGTCTCCATGCAGCGGTGGTGGGAGGTTGCAGGCCCCGGGGTCACCAGTCTCTCAGTCCTCTCCATGCAGCGGTGGTGGGAGGTTGCAGGCCCCGGTGTCGCCAGTCTCCATGCAGCGGTGGTGGGAGGTTGCAGGCCCCGTTGTCACCAGTCTCCATGCAGCGGTGGTGGGATGTTGCAGCCCCGGTGTCACCAGTCTCGGTCCTCTCCATGCAGCGGTGGTGGGAGGTTGCAGGCCCCGGTGTCGCCAGTCTCCATGCAGCGGTGTGGGAGGCTGCAGGCCCCGGTGTCACCAGTCTCAGTCCTCTCCATGCAGCGGTGGTGGGAGGTTGCAGGCCCCGGTGTCACCAGTCTCTCAGTCCTCTCCATGCAGCGGTGGTGGGAGGTTGCAGGCCCCGGTGTCACCAGTCTCCATGCAGCGGTGGTGGGAGGTTGCAGGCCCCGGTGTCACCAGTCTCGGTCCTCTCCATGCAGTGGTGGTGGGAGGTTGCAGGCCCCGGTGTCACCAGTCTCAGTCCTCTCCATGCTGCGGTGGTGGGAGGTTGCAGGCCCCGGTGTCACCAGTCTCAGTCCTCTCCATGCAGTGGTGGTGGGAGGTTGCAGGCCCCGGTGTCACCAGTCTCAGTCCTCTCCATGCTGCGGTGGTGGGAGGTTGCAGGCCCCGGTGTCACCAGTCTCTCAGTCCTCTCCATGCAGCGGTGGTGGGAGGTTGCAGCCAGGTCACCAGTCTCCATGCAGCGGTGGTGGGAGGTTGCAGGCCCCGGTGTCACCAGTCTCGGTCCTCTCCATGCAGTGGTGGTGGGAGGTTGCAGGCCCCGGTGTCACCAGTCTCAGTCCTCTCCATGCTGCGGTGGTGGGAGGTTGCAGGCCCCGGTGTCACCAGTCTCTCAGTCCTCTCTATGCAGCGGTGGTGGGAGGTTGCAGCCCCGGTGTCACCAGTCCCCTCGGTCCTCTCCATGCAGTGGGTGGTGGGAGGTTGCAGGCCCCGGTGTCACCAGTCTCGGTCCTCTCCATGCAGTGGTGGTGGGATGTTGCAGCCCCGGTGTCACCAGTCTCGGTCCTCTCCATGCAGTGGTGGTGGGAGGTTGCAGGCCCCGGTGTCACCAGTCTCTGTCCTCTCCATGCAGTGGTGGTGGGAGGTTGCAGGCCCCGGTGTCACCAGTCTCAGTTGTCTCCATGCAGTGGTGGTGGGAGGTTGCAGGCCCCGGTGTCACCAGTCCCTCAGTCCTCTCCATCCAGCGGTGGTGGGAGGTTGCAGGCCCCGGTGTCACCAGTCTCCATGCAGCGGTGGTGGGAGGTTGCAGGCCCCGGGGTCACCAGTCTCTCAGTCCTCTCCATGCAGCGGTGGTGGGAGGTTGCAGGCCCCGGTGTCGCCAGTCTCCATGCAGCGGTGGTGGGAGGTTGCAGGCCCCGTTGTCACCAGTCTCCATGCAGCGGTGGTGGGATGTTGCAGCCCCGGTGTCACCAGTCTCGGTCCTCTCCATGCAGCGGTGGTGGGAGGTTGCAGGCCCCGGTGTCGCCAGTCTCCATGCAGTGGTGGTGGGAGGTTGCAGGCCCCGGTGTCACCAGTCTCTCAGTCCTCTCCATGCAGCGGTGGTGGGAGGTTGCAGGCCCCGGTGTCACCAGTCTCCATGCAGCGGTGGTGGGAGGTTGCAGGCCCCGGTGTCACCAGTCTCGGTCCTCTCCATGCTGCGGTGGTGGGAGGTTGCAGGCCCCGGTGTCACCAGTCTCTCAGTCCTCTCCATGCAGCGGTGGTGGGAGGTTGCAGCCCCGGTGTCACCAGTCTCGGTCCTCTCCATGCAGCGGTGGTGGGAGGTTGCAGGCCCCGGTGTCACCAGTCTCCATGCAGTGGGGGTGGGGAGGTTGCAGGCCCCGGTGTCACCAGACTCTCAGTCCTCTCCATGCAGCGGTGGTGGGAGGTTGCAGCCCCGGTGTCACCAGTCTCGGTCCTCTCCATGCAGCGGTGGTGGGAGGTTGCAGGCCCCGGTGTCGCCAGTCTCCATGCAGCGGTGGTGGGAGGCTGCAGGCCCCGGTGTCACCATTCTCAGTCCTCTCCATGCAGCGGTGGTGGGAGGTTGCAGGCCCGGTGTCGCCAGTCTCCATGCAGTGGTGGTGGGGGCTGCAGGCCCCGGTGTCACCATTCTCAGTCCTCTCCATGCAGTGGTGGTGGGAGGTTGCAGGCCCCGGTGTCACCAGTCTCTCAGTCCTCTCCATGCAGCGGTGGTGGGAGGTTGCAGGCCCCGGTGTCACCAGTCTCCATGCAGCGGTGGTGGGAGGTTGCAGGCCCCGGTGTCACCAGTCTCGGTCCTCTCCATGCAGTGGTGGTGGGAGGTTGCAGGCCCCGGTGTCACCAGTCTCTCAGTCCTCTCCATGCTGCGGTGGTGGGAGGTTGCAGGCCCCGGTGTCACCAGTCTCTCAGTCCTCTCCATGCAGCGGTGGTGGGAGGTTGCAGGCCCCGGTGTCACCAGTCTCCATGCAGCGTGTGGTGGGAGGTTGCAGGCCCCGGTGTCACCAGTCTCCATGCAGTGGTGGTGGGAGGTTGCAGGCCCCGGTGTCACCAGACTCTCAGTCCTCTCCATGCAGCGGTGGTGGGAGGTTGCAGCCCCGGTGTCACCAGTCTCGGTCCTCTCATGCAGCGGTGGTGGGAGGTTGCAGGCCCGGTGTCACCAGTCTCGGGTCCTCTCCATGCAGCGGTGGTGGGAGGTTTGCAGCCCTACCCCCAGCCCCGGTGTCACCAGTCTCGGTCCTCTCCATGCAGCGGTGGTGGGAGGTTGCAGGCCCCCGGTGTCACCGCTCTCTCTCTCTCCGGTCAGGGAACCATGAGACTGACACCATGAACCAGATGTACGGCTTCGAGGGCGAGGTGAAGGCCAAATACTCCACCCAGATGTTCCAGCTCTTCAGTGAAGTCTTCCAGTGGCTGCCGCTGGCCATGTGTGTGAACCAGCGAGTTCTGGTGAGGCCCCCCGGGGGACACAGACTGGGGGTGGGGTCATAGGGCCACAGCACGGGCTCCGCCTACATACGAGCTCCTCGGCTCCGTGTGATTGGGTGATGAGGATCCGACTGATGGGAGGAGTTTTGTAGGAAATGTGATCTTGTGCAGCGCTGTGTGACACCATGTGACTCCGTGTGCCGTGTTCTGTGTGCAGATCATGCATGGCGGGCTCTTCTCTGAGGACGGGGTGACGCTGGAGCAGATCCGGAACATCGAACGGAACCGCCAGCCGCCAGACGCAGGTGTGACCCTCCGCCCCATCATGTCATTGGATTGGCCACATAGGACTTGTCACCTGACCCTGTGACCTACCCCCGTCACGTGACCCCCCCTGCGACCCACCCCCGTCACGTGACCCCCTGCGACCCACCCCCGTCACGTGACCCCCTGCGACCCACCCCCGTCACGTGACCCCCTGCGACCCACCCCCGTCACGTGACCCCCTGCGACCCACCCCCGTCACGTGACCCCCTGCGACCTACCCCCGTCACGTGACCCTGAGACCTACCCCCATCATGTCATTGGATTGGCCACATAGGACTTGTCACCTGACCCCCCGCGACCTACCCCTACCCCCGTCACCTGACCCCCCCGCGACCTACCCCCGTCACCTTACCCCCGTCACCTGACCCCCTGCGACCTACCCCCGTCACCTGACCCCCCTGCGACCTACCCCCGTTCCCCGTCACCTGACCCCCTGCGACCTACCCCGTCACCTGACCCCCTGCGACCTACCTCCGTCACCTGACCCCCCTGCGACCTACCTCCGTCACCTGACCGCCCGCGACCTACCCCCGTCACCTGACCCCCCGCGACCTACCCCCGTCACCTTACCCCCGTCACCTGACCCCCTGCGACCTACCCCCGTCACCTGACCCCCTGCGACCTACCCCCGTCACCTGACCCCCCTGCGACCTACCTCCGTCACCTGATTCCCCTGCGACCTACCTCCGTCACCTGACCGCCCGCGACCTACCCCCGTCACCTGACCCCCCGCGACCTACCCCCGTCACCTTACCCCCGTCACCTGACCCCCTGCGACCTACCCCCCGTCGTCACCTGACCCCCCGCGACCTACCCCCGTCACCTGACCCCCCGCGACCTACCCCCGTCACCTGACCCCCCGCGACCTACCCCCGTCACCTGACCCCCCCGCGACCTACCCCCGTCACCTGACCCCCCGCGACCTACCCCCGTCACCTGACCCCCCGCGACCTACCCCCGTCACCTGACCCCCCGCGACCTACCCCCGTCACCTGACCCCCCCGCGACCTACCCCCTTCACCTTACCCCCGTCACCTGACCCCCTGCGACCTACCCCCGTCACCTGACCCCCTGCGACCTACCCCCGTCACCTGACCCCCTGCGACCTACCCCCGTCACCTGACCCCCGGCGACCTACCCCCGTCACCTGACCCCCCGCGACCTACCCCGTCACCTGACCCCCCGTCACCTGACCCCCCGCGACCTACCCCCGTCACCTGACCCCCCGCGACCTACCCCCGTCACCTGACCCCCCGCGACCTAGCCCCGTCACCTGACCCCCCGCGACCTACCCCCGTCACCTGACCCCCCGCGACCTACCCCCCGTCACCTGACCCCCCGCGACCTACCCTCGTCACGTGACCCCCCCCCGCGACCTACCCCCGTCACGTGACCCCCCGCGACCTACCCCCGTCACGTGACCCCCCGCGACCTACCCCCGTCACCTGACCCCCCGTCACCTGACCCCCCGCGACCTACCCCCGTCACCTGACCCCCCCGCGACCTACCCCCCCCGTCACCTGACCCCCCGCGACCTACCCCCGTCACCTGACCCCCCGCGACCTACCCCCGTCACGTGACCCCCCGCGACCTACCCCCGTCATGTCATTGGATTGGCCACATAGGACTTGTCACGTGACCCCCTGCGACCCACCCCGCTGAGTTCTGGTTGGAGTGTGAAGGTGGATGAATGGAGAGAGGTGGATGGATGGTTGTCCATGTCCTGACCGCTCTCTCTCCTCCAGGTCCCATGTGTGACTTGTTGTGGTCGGATCCCCAGCCTCAGGTAAGGGGGTGTGCCCCACCCCCCCCCCCCCCACTGGTCTTCTGTAACCCCTCCCCCCACTGGTGTTCTATAACCCCTCCCCCCACAGGTCTTCTATAACCCTCCCCCCCACAGGTCTTCTGTAACCCCTCCCCCCACTGGTGTTCTATAAACCCCTCCCCCCACAGGTCTTCTGTAACCCCTCCCCCCACAGGTCTTCTATAACCCTCCCCCCCACAGGTCTTCTGTAACCCCTCCCCCCCACAGGTCTTCTGTAACCCCTCCCCCCACAGGTCTTCTGTAACCCCTCCCCCCACAGGTCTTCTGTAACCCCTCCCCCCACAGGTCTTCTATAACCCTCCCCCCCACAGGTCTTCTGTAACCCCTCCCCCCACAGGTCTTCTGTAACCCCTCCCCCCACAGGTCTTCTGTAACCCCTCCCCCCACAGGTCTTCTATAACCCCTCCCCCCACAGGTCTTCTGTAACCCCTCCCCCCACAGGTCTTCTGTAACCCCTCCCCCCACAGGTCTTCTATAACCCCTCCCCCCACAGGTCTTCTGTAACCCCTCCCCCCACAGGTCTTCTGTAACCCCTCCCCCACAGGTCTTCTGTAACCCCTCCCCCCACAGGTCTTCTATAACCCCTCCCCCCACAGGTCTTCTGTAACCCCTCCCCCACAGGTCTTCTGTAACCCCTCCCCCCACAGGTCTTCTGTAACCCCTCCCCCACAGGTCTTCTGTAACCCCTCCCCCACAGGTCTTCTGTAACCCCTCCCCCACAGGTCTTCTGTAACCCCTCCCCCACAGGTCTTCTGTAACCCCTCCCCCACAGGTCTTCTGTAACCCCTCCCCCACCTTCCTCCTCCTCCCAGGACGGGCGCTCTCCCAGTAAGCGCGGTGTCAGTTGTCAGTTTGGACCGGACATCACCCGCCACTTCCTGGAGGAGAACGGTCTGGATTACATCATCCGCAGTCACGAGGTGAAGGCGGAGGGATACGAAGTGACGCACAACGGTCTCTGCGTGACCGTCTTCTCCGCGCCAAACTACTGGTGAGTGTCCTGCCTGACTCCTCCCCTTCTGTTATGTCATCTGACACTGCCTGACTCCTCCCCTTCTGTTATGTCATCCGACACTGTGCCTGATTCCTCCCCTTCTGTTATGTCATCTGACACTGCCTGACTCCTCCCCTTCTGTTATGTCATCCGACACTGTGCCTGATTCCTCCCCTTCTGTTATGTCATCTGACACTGCCTGACTCCTCCCCTTCTGTCGTGTCATCTGACACTGTGCCTGACTCCTCCCCTTCTGTCGTGTCATCTGACACTGTGCCTGATTCCTCCCCTTCTGTCGTGTCATCTGACACTGCCTGACTCCTCCCCTTCTGTCGTGTCATCTGACACTGCCTGACTCCTCCCCTTCTGTCGTGTCATCTGACACTGCCTGACTCCTCCCCTTCTGTCGTGTCATCTGACACTGCCTGACTCCTCCCCTTCTGTCGTGTCATCTGACACTGCCTGACTCCTCCCCTTCTGTCGTGTCATCTGACACTGCCTGACTCCTCCCCTTCTGTCGTGTCATCTGACACTGCCTGACTCCTCCCCTTCTGTCGTGTCATCTGACACTGCCTGACTCCTCCCCTTCTGGCGTGTCATCTGACACTGCCTGACTCCTCCCCTTCTGGCGTGTCATCTGACACTGCCTGACTCCTCCCCTTCTGGCGTGTCATCTGACACTGCCTGACTCCTCCCCTTCTGGCGTGTCATCTGACACTGCCTGACTCCTCCCCTTCTGTCGTGTCATCTGACACTGCCTGACTCCTGCCCTTCTGTCGTGTCATCCGACACTGTGATTGACTCCTCCCCTTGTGTGGTCCCGCGCTGTGCCTTACTCCTCCCCTTGTGTGGTCCCGCGCTGTGCCTTACTCCTCCCCTTGTGTGGTCCTGCGCTGTGCCTGACTCCTCCCCTTCTGTTGTGTCATCCGACACTGCCTGACTCCTCCCCTTCTGTTGTGTCATGCGGCACTGTCTGACTCCTCCCCTTCTGGCGTGTCATCTGACACTGCCTGACTCCTCCCCTTCTGGCGTGTCATCTGACACTGCCTGACTCCTCCCCTTCTGGCGTGTCATTTGACACTGCCTGACTCCTCCCCTTCTGGCGTGTCATCTGACACTGCCTGACTCCTCCCCTTCTGTCGTGTCATCTGACACTGCCTGACTCCTGCCCTTCTGTCGTGTCATCCGACACTGTGATTGACTCCTCCCCTTGTGTGGTCCCGCGCTGTGCCTTACTCCTCCCTTGTGTGGTCCCGCGCTGTGCCTTACTCCTCCCCTTGTGTGGTCCTGCGCTGTGCCTGACTCCTCCCCTTCTGTTGTGTCATCCGACACTGCCTGACTCCTCCCCTTCTGTTGTGTCATGCGGCACTGTCTGACTCCTCATCTTGTGTCGTGTTGACCCGTGCTGTGCCTTACTCCTCCCCTTGTGTGGTCCAGTGCTGTGCCTTACTCCTCCCCTTGTGTGGTCCCGTGCTGTGCCTTACTCCTCCCCTTGTGTGGTCCAGTGCTGTGCCTTACTCCTCCCCTTGTGTGGTCCCGTGCTGTGCCTTACTCCTCCCCTTGTGTGGTCCAGTGCTGTGCCTTACTCCTCCCCTTGTGTGGTCCCGTGCTGTGCCTTACTCCTCCCCTTGTGTGGTCCCGTGCTGTGCCTTACTCCTCCCCTTGTGTGGTCCCGTGCTGTGCCTGACACCCCCCTTGTGTGGTCCCGTGCTGTGCCTAACACCCCCCTTGTGTTTTCCCGTGCTGTTCCTGACTCCTCCCCTTGTGTGGTCCCGCGCTGTGCCTGACTCCTCCACTTGTGTGGTCCCGTGCTGTGCCTGACTCCTCCCTTTCTGTGGTTCCGCGCTGTGCCTGACTCCTCCCCTTGTGTCACATCATCTCGTGCTGTGCCCAACTCCTCCCCTTGCGTTGTCCCGCACTGTGCCTGACTCCTCCTCTTGTGTCGCGTCATCCCGCACTGTGCCTGACTCCTCCTCTTGTGTCGCGTCATCCCACGCTGTGCCTGACTCCTCCCCTTGTGTGGTCCCACACTGTGCCTGACTCCTCCCCTTGTGTGGTCCCGCGCTGTGCCTGACTCCTCCCCTTGTGTGGTCCCGCGCTGTGCCTGACTCCTCCCCTTGTGTCACATCATCTCGTGCTGTGCCCAACTCCTCCCCTTGCGTTGTCCCGCACTGTGCCTGACTCCTCCTCTTGTGTCGCGTCATCCCGCACTGTGCCTGACTTCTTCTCTTGTGTCGCGTCATCCCGCACTGTGCCTGACTCCTCCTCCTTGTGTCGCGTCATCCCGCACTGTGCCTGACTCCTCCTCTTGTGTCGCGTCATCCCGCACTGTGCCTGACTCCTCCTCTTGTGTCGCGTCATCCCGCACTGTGCCTGACTCCTCCTCTTGTGTCGCGTCATCCCGCACTGTGCCTGACTTCTCCTCTTGTGTCGCGTCATCCCGCACTGTGCCTGACTCCTCCTCCTTGTGTCGCGTCATCCCGCACTGTGCCTGACTCCTCCTCTTGTGTCGCGTCATCCCGCACTGTGCCTGACTCCTCCTCTTGTGTCGCGTCATCCCGCACTGTGCCTGACTCCTCCTCTTGTGTCGCGTCATTCCGCACTGTGCCTGACTTCTCCTCTTGTGTCGCGTCATCCCGCTCTGTTTCTGACTCCTCCTCTTGTGTCGCGTCATCCCGCTCTGTGCCTGACTCTTCCCCTTGTGTTGCGTCATCCTGCTCTGTTCCTGACTCCTCCCATTCTATTGTGTCATCCCTCCCCGTGCCTGACCCCTACCGTTTTTATCATGCCATCCGACTTTGTGCCTGACTCCTCCCCTTGTGTTGCGTCATCCTACGCTGTTCCTGACTCCTCCCATTCTATTGTGTCATCCCTCCCCGTGCCTGACCCCTACCGTTTTTATCATGCCATCCGACTTTGTGCCTGACTCCTCCCCTTGTGTTGCGTCATCCTACGCTGTTCCTGACTCCTCCCATTCTATTGTGTCATCCCTCCCCGTGCCTGACCCCTACCGTTTTTATCATGCCATCCCGCTCTGTGCCTGACTCCTCCCCTTCTGTTGCCTCATCCCACACTGTGCCTAACTCCTCCCCTCTTCTCTTGTGCAGTGACCAGATGGGTAATAAAGGTGCATATATACATCTCAGTGGCTCCGACCTGAAGCCAAAATTTCACCAATTTGAAGCTGTGGTGAGTCCTTCCTCTCCGGTGTGCTGCCCTGTGTCTGCTCTACATAGCGCCCCCTCTGTGTCGTCATAGCGCCCCTCCTCTGTGTCGTCATAGCGCCCCTCCTCTGTGTCGTCATAGCGCCCCCTCTGTGTCGTCATAGCACCCCCCTCTGTGTCGTCATAGTGCCCCCCTCTGTGTCGTCATAGCGCCCCCCCTCTGTGTCGTCATAGCGCCCCCTCTGTGTCGTCATAGCGCCCCCTCTGTGTCGTCATAGCGCTTCCTCTGTGTCATCATAGCGCCCCCTCTGTGTCGTCATAGCGCCCCCTCTGTGTCGTCATAGCGCCCCCTATATCTTTTGTGTGTGATCATAGAGCCCCCTGCATCCTCTGTGTGTGATCATAGAGCCCCCTGCATCCTCTGCGTGTGATCATAGATCCCCCTGCATCCTCTGCGTGTGATCATAGAGCCCCCTGCATCCTCTGCGTGTGATCATAGAGCCCCCTGCATCCTCTGCGTGTGATCATAGAGCCCCCTGCATCCTCTGCGTGTGATCATAGAGCCCCCTGCATCCTCTGCGTGTGATCATAGAGCCCCCTGCATCCTCTGCGTGTGATCATAGAGCCCCCTGCATCCTCTGCGTGTGATCATAGAGCCCCCTGCATCCTCTGCGTGTGATCATAGAGCCCCCTGCATCCTCTGCGTGTGATCATAGAGCCCCCTGCATCCTCTGTGTGTGATCATAGAGCCCCCTGCATCCTTTGTGTGTGATCATAGATCCCCCTGCGTCCTCTGTGTGTGATCATAGAGCCCCCTGCGTCCTCTGTGTGTGATCATAGAGCCCCCTGCGTCCTCTGTGTGTGATCATAGAGCCCCCTGCGTCCTCTGTGTGTGATCATAGAGCCCCCTGCGTCCTCTGTGTGTGATCATAGAGCCCCCCTGCATCCTCTGTGTGTGATCATAGAGCCCCCTGCATCCTGTGCGTGTGATCATAGATCCCCCTGCATCCTCTGCGTGTGATCATAGAGCCCCCTGCATCCTCTGTGTGTGATCATAGAGCCCCCTGCATCCTCTGTGTGTGATCATAGATCCCCCTGCATCCTCTGTGTGTGATCATAGAGCCCCCTGCGTCCTCTGTGTGTGATCATAGAGCCCCCTGCGTCCTCTGTGTGTGATCATAGAGCCCCCTGCATCCTCTGTGTGTGATCATAGAGCCCCCTGCATCCTGTGCGTGTGATCATAGATCCCCCTGCATCCTCTGCGTGTGATCATAGAGCCCCCCTGCATCCTCTGCGTGTGATCATAGATCCCCCTGCATCCTCTGCGTGTGATCATAGAGCCCCCTGCATCCTCTGCGTGTGATCATAGAGCCCCCTGCATCCTCTGTGTGTGATCATAGATCCCCCTGCATCCTCTGCGTGTGATCATAGAGCCCCCTGCATCCTCTGCGTGTGATCATAGAGCCCCCTGCATCCTCTGTGTGTGATCATAGAGCCCCCTGCATCCTCTGTGTGTGATCATAGATCCCCCTGCATCCTCTGTGTGTGATCATAGAGCCCCCCTGCGTCCTCTGTGTGTGATCATAGAGCCCCCTGCGTCCTCTGTGTGTGATCATAGAGCCCCCTGCATCCTCTGTGTGTGATCATAGAGCCCCCTGCATCCTGTGCGTGTGATCATAGATCCCCCTGCATCCTCTGCGTGTGATCATAGAGCCCCCTGCATCCTCTGCGTGTGATCATAGATCCCCCTGCATCCTCTGTGTGTGATCATAGATCCCCCTGCATCCTCTGTGTGTGATCATAGAGCCCCCTGCATCCTCTGCGTGTGATCATAGAGCCCCCTGCATCCTCTGTGTGTGATCATAGATCCCCCTGCATCCTCTGCGTGTGATCATAGAGCCCCCTGCATCCTCTGTGTGTGATCATAGATCCCCCTGCATCCTGTGCGTGTGATCATAGATCCCCCTGCATCCTCTGTGTGTGATCATAGATCCCCCTGCATCCTCTGTGTGTCATCATAGCAACTGCTGTAGTTCCTGTTTGTTGGTGTCATTGCCTGACTGTAGGCCATAGAGTCCTGACTATCCCCAACACCTCCTAGAGAATGGGTCGTAGTACCAGAAGTCAGAGAAGTCAAACTCATAGTAATGAGGAGAAACTAAATCAGAGGCGCACACATAGAGGCGGTAATAACGGGCCTATTGTGGGATCTGATTTTAGGCAGCACTTTAATTGGCTGACAGGTTCCGTTTTGAAGTGGAGGGCGGGGGAGGGGTACAGACTTTTAGCCCTCTCCTTGCAAGGGCTGTTCATTCTCATTCATTGGAGGACACCGATGCAGAGACTGTTGGGTTATACTGTCGCCTACAGAAGGATTGAACAATTTGCTATTTGGCCTATGAAATCCAGTCTGGCTGCATGGAGGCCCTCAGAGGATAGAGCCCGGGCGAGGGATATTAGGAGGGGTCCGGTCACTCTCCTCTCTGAGAATCTAGTGCTCATGCTCAGGGCCCTGGTCTGCAGTGATGGCGTGTTGGAAGCCCCCCCGCCATGTCCAAGATGGCTCCACTGTCAATGAACACGACGCCCTCTTACCCCAACCCTCCCCTCCTCTGCCACCCTCACTTACCCCTCCCTTCTTCCAACCCTCCACTCCCCTCCTCTGACCCTCCACCCCCCTCACTCTCCCCCCCCCCCCCCTCCCCTCGCTTCTTCAGACCCCCCCCTCCCCCTCCCCCCCTCTCACCCTCTCCTCCCTTCCGACCCTCTGCCCCCTCCACCCCCCTCACTTACTCCTCCCCTCCCTTCTGACCCTCTGCCCCTCCCCTCCTCCGCCCCCTCCTCCCCCCCCCCTCACTTACTCCTCCCCTCCCTTCTTCCCCCCCACTCCCCTCCTCTGACCCTCCGCCCCCTCACTTACCCTGATCCCCCCCCCCCCCCCTTCTTCAGACCCCCCCCCCCCCCCCCCCCCCCCCCTCCCCCCCTCCCCCCCCTTCCCCCCCCCCCCCCCCCCCTCCCCCCCCCCCTCCCCCTTCCCCCCCCTTCCCCCCCCCCGCTCCCCCCCTCCTCCCCTCTGCCCCCTCACTTACTCCTCCCCTCCCCCCCCCCCCCCCCCCGCTCCCCCCCCTCCTCCGCCCCCTCACTTACTCCTCCCCCCCCCTTCCCCCCCCCCCCCCCCTTCCCCCCCCCCCCCCCCCCACTCCCCTCCTCCCCTCCCCCCTTCCAACCCTCCCCCCCCCTCCCCCCCCCCCCCTCCCCCCCCCCCCCCCCCCCCCCCCTCCCCCCAACCCCCCCCCCCCCCCCCCCCCCCCTCTCACCCCCCCTCTCACTCCTCCCCCCCCCCCCCCCTCCCCCCCCCCCCCCCCCCTCCTCCCCCCCCTCCCCCTACTTCCCCCCCCCCCCTCCCCCCCCCCCCCCCCCCCCCCCTCCCCCCCCCCCGCCCCCCCCACCCCCCCCCCCCCTTCCCCCCCCCAACCCCCCCCCCCCCCCCCCCCTTCCCCCCCCCCCCCCCCCCCCCCCCCCTTCCCCCCCCCCCTCCCCCCCCCCCCCCCCCCCCTCCCCCCCCTTACTTACCCCCCCCCCCTTCTTCCCCCCTCCCCCCCCCCCCCCTCCCTCGCCCCCCCCTTACTCCCCCCCCTCCCTTCCCCCAACCCTCCCCCCCCCCCCCCCCCCCCTCCCCCCCCTTACTTACTCCCCCCCCCTTCTTCCAACCCCCCCCCCCCCCCCCCCCCCCCCCCCCACCCCCCCCCCTCTCCCCCCCCCCTACCCTCTGCCCCCCCCCCCCCCCCCCCCCCCCCCCCCTCCCCCCCCCCCCCCCCCCCCCCTTCCCTCCCCCCCCTCCCCCTCCCCCCCCCCCCCCCCCTCCCTCCCCCCCCCCTTCGTCCCCCCCCCCCCCACCCCCCCCCCCCTCCCCCCCCCCCCTCACTTACTCCTCCCCCCCCCCCCCCCCCTCCCTCCCCCCCCCCCCCCCCCCCCCCCCCCCACTTACCCTCCCCCCCCTTCTCCCCCCCGCCCCCCCCCCCTCCCCTCCTTCCCCCCCTTACCCCCCCCTCCCTCCTCTTCCAACCCTCCGCTCCCCCTCCCCTCCTTCGCCCCCCTTACTTCCAGGGAGGTGTCTTCAGGTTACTCTGAAAGCTCCTATGAAGGACGTCACCAAGGCCAGGAGTACTCTTCCTCAACAACAAAAAGCCTGAGGCTCAGTCTGGGAAGACTCTTTCCTCGTCGGAAGCCATGAAGAGTCTGTCATTTACCCTAGGCCTCACCTTCTGAAGCCAAACCTGTCGCCCCCCAGTCCACCCCTTACCCTGGTCTGTGACGTCTTCCAAGCCCTCTGATAAGTCCTCTTCATTGTGAGGGGCACCACCACTGTCCAAAGTGGGGGAAACTCTTAGCCTTTGCAAACACTTGGACATCCTGCCTCTTAGATGCTTGGGGCCAGGAGGTGGATTCTACGGGGTACACTCCATAATTCTGCCCTCAGCCCCGCCCTCGGTCCATGTCTTCCAACCTACCTCTGTCTTTGCACAGATTAGCAGATCCCATGCAGCCCTAGTGGGTCTGTTGGACCAGGAGGCCCCAGTTCCTGTGGTGGAATCATTAGAGAGATTCTACCCCAACATGTTCAGTTCCCAAAACCAAAGGGGGCCCCCATCTTCAATTCCAAAGCTTTGAATAGCTACAGTTGGGCCCAGAAATTCTGTATGGACTCTACCTGGTCTGTTCCAGCCTTCCTTCATCCGAAAGACTTTATCTGTGGCTATCAAAAACTCGTACATGAATGTCCCCATTTTTTAGTGCTCAAGCAATTTCTGCTTTACTGTAGGTCCTTTTCACTTCAATTTTTGGCTTTGCCATTTGGCCTGTCTTCTGCTACTTGGGTGTTCCTCAAGGTGCCGGCTCCTGTGCTGCCCTTACTGCGCTCTCAGAACATCCCTATAGTGGGAGTAGAAAATGTCCTAGTATGGGAGTGAGTATACCTCATCATTGGTGTCAGTGGAAGAATAGTACCTAATCATTGGTGTCAATGAGGGGAATAGTGTCCATTCGTCGTTGGTGTCAGTGGAAGAAATAGTGCCCCATCATTGGTGTCAGTGG